TTGTTGTTTCCCTGCCTGGTGCGTGATAGTGTCTATTGTATCTGTTGTAATCATATGCATACAACCACCTTCATGACCTAATGTTTATAGCATCTGCCCAGACAGCGGAAGGTCAGTGGTTTGATCCTTATCATACCAATAGACATTAAAAGTTGTTACTTGTTGTTTCCCTGCCTGGTGCGTGATAGTGTCTATTGTATCTGTTGTAATCATATGCATACAACCACCTTCATCGCCTTATGTATATAGCATCTGCCCAGACAGCAGGAGGTCAGTGGTTTGATCCTCATCATACCAATAGACATTAAAAGTTGTTACTTGTTGTTTCCCTGCCTGGTGCGTGATAGTGTCTATTGTATCTGTTGTAATCATATGCATACAACCACCTTCGTGGCCTAATGTTTATATCATCTGCCCAGACAGCGGAAGGTCAGTTGTTTGATCCTCATCATACCAATAGACATTAAAAGTTGTTACTTGTTGTTTCCCTGCCTGGTGCTCGGCATAAAGGGATAAGGCAAGGGCTGTCAGTATAATGTGTCTAAAGGGTATCCATGTTAAAACTGCAACATGGTATCTCAGTGGGCTTGCACTATAAAACCGGAATAAGTCTCGGATCCAAGCAGCTATGCATTCTTGTGCATGCACATCGCTATGTAAGTGCAATAATATAGAACCAACATTTCTCACCTCACCTCACCTCACCTCACCTCACCTCACCTCACCTCACCTCACCTCACCTCACCTCACCTCACCTCACCTCTACTCACCTTCCATCTAAAACCTGCATCACCGGGATTTCTCCCCACATCAAACACAGGTAAAATATTCAAAGCCCTATTTAACCCAATTCACTCATTACTCAAGATAACAGACACATCAGGAAGATTAAAGATTGTTTTCAAAATGTAAATTTTATTCCAAATGTAGAAAATGTAAAGTAATGGATTTGCTACCCTTGTAACAGATGCTCAGATAATGTGATAGTAATGCAGATGTGTACTAGAGTGACATCTTTCTGAGGCAAGGGAGTTAACTGACTGTTAAAGTCCAGTTTCCACCCTTGCCAAATTAGGCTGGAATTTTTGGGCTCGATTGTAGCGCCACCATTGGCGATTACAAGTAATGTCCCTTCTTAATGATCCTCCTACTGACCAATCAGATTCTACCTCTCATATCACATGCATTTGCTTAAAATAAAATGGTCGCACCCAGTGAAGATTATCTAATCGATAATCAAAATCTACATTGTAATAAAACAAGTCCTACTCACGAAATGCATCAAATCATGTGAGCACCTTGATTAAAAACATGAAAAGATTTGGAAACTATCTGTAGATGCCGAATCGGCAGTACGCAATTGCAAATCCTGCAATCGACAGAAATATGCACAGCAGTTTACGAACCAGATGTCGATTTCACTACTCCAGGCCCTCTTAATGTCAAACACTGAATATGATACATTTGACTGGTATACACTTCACCAACAACACAACGGTCATACAACGGTAGAAGGTTTTTGGCATGTAATATCAGTATCAGTTATTGCTGTCATAATCATAAAAAACTTGGCCTGCTGTATTTGGTAAGCATTATTCACTGTATGATTGGTATTCTAGAAGTTTGTGAGTAAATAAGAAAACATATATAACTTTATGAATAGCAACTGGTTTTTAGCATATGTTGACGCTTCACTGTAGATTCTTACACCGTTATCAGGCTGGCTTCATTATGGTGAAAAGAACTGATGATTTTCTTACAGAGGATTATTATGCCCCACCACGAAGTGGAAGGGGGATATAGGAATGTGTGCCGTCTGTCCGTCCTTCCGTCCATCATGTTTCATTTTCGAGCAGAACTAAATACAATGAGAGATATCTTAACCAAACTTGGCACATAGATAGGTCTAGTGGTGAACTGGTGTCTTTTGATAGTTTGGGATTTAAAAAAAATGTTTTTCAAGTTTCCATTTTGACTTAGACTAAAATTGGCGGTAGTGCTTGTTTCCAGAGCAGATCTTAAAAAACATACAATATTTCTTGATTTGCAGACAACCGGACATGTCACATTGGCGAGGATATGAGTATTTCATGTTTGTTCCGTTTTATGAATATGCTTTTAAGGGGTTCGAAGAAACCACTTTTCCTTGAGATGCTGCCTTGCCCGTATGAGTCATGAGCTTTGACGTAGCTGCATCCTCTCCAGTCAAGTGTGTCAGTTTCAGCTGCCAAGTCATGCAGCATGATACAGCTGAATCCCGATGAGGGGGTCGCGCAGGCACTTGTCTAAGTTAGGCCAGTCATATCATTGATTTGTTTACTGAATTTCTTGGCCAAGGTACAGGAAGCAATTTAATAAAAAAAAGATAGATGCTGTTGGGGTTTACTTGAGCATGTTGAGGTGAATTTCCTCGAGAACAATGGGATTCAGTAAAAGTTAACTATGCTTGACATGTTTAACATGTTCAAAATAAGTGCAATTTATTTCTATATTTATTAGAAGGTAGGACAGGCTTATGCAAAGAAGAAAACTAAATAAAAATATTCTTTTTAAAAATCTGATTGTCTTGTCACATGAAAATAAATAAGAAAATAAGAATCTCCTAATATAACAAATGTCATATTTGGGATAACACTTTCTTTGTAAAGTACAGATTCTAGTACTTTTTGGGTTGAGTCCCATCCGTGATACAAACCCACAAAATCTCATAAAAATCCCATCTTTAACTCGATGACACAATCTGACAATTATTTTTTATGACCCTCCCCTAAAGACTGTCATAATTTTTGGTGGTCCTCCCCTGATTCCATCTGCCCCACCCCCTAAAATAAATGGCCCCTTATCATGGTTGACATCTAGAGAGCACCTCCATGGTCTAGTGGATAGAGAGTTTGCCCAGAGAGCAGGTTGTGGATGGTTCAATCTCTGGCCACATGATACCAAAAGACTTTGAAAGATGGTACATACCTGCTGTTACCCTGTCTGGTGCTAGGCATTAGGGGAATTAAACAAGGACTGGTCGGCTCGGAGTGTACTGTGCCTCAGTGGGCAGTGTTCAAAATAAGCACCTGCCCTTAGGCCCGTGGCAGGTAGTTCTCGTATTGGGCCCACAGTTTCAAATTTGTATGGGTCCTTTTGGCCTGCAGTGAATGTATGTGTTGATTTATTTGTCTTAATGTAAAACCAGCATTAGTCTGGACAAGTACAAACAGCCCCACACACATTTTAAAGGGCAAGTTCACACGGAAATTAACCTATTTTTCTTGTACTTTTTCCACATTAAAAGTGTTAACCTAGAAGTGTCATAGACAAAAATATAAAAATATCACAATTAATTAACATATTTTTCGCATTAAAACGATTTATATTTTTCACATTTACCAAGTGTTCTATTTCCACAACAAAAACACAATGGCTTATGCCCCTTGCAATATGACGTCATTGGTGCCAATTGATAAACATTATGACGTCATCATGCTTTGTTAGAGCCGCTTCACGTGGTGTAGGTCTAGATGTGTGATTCTAGCGTCTCAGATGCCAGCCAGCATAGTGTTATGCTGAGTCACCACTGCGTCGGAGTGTGTCGTAGACCATGTTGTTTTACCGCAAACTGGTACTTGATATCTTTTGCGTTGAGAATAGACAGGGACCCAGTTGAATTGGCACCAATTACGTCATAATCTAAGGGGGATAACTCAGGCCTGTTTAGCTCGAAAAACGAAGGCCTCATAACGGCATATCATTTTCACACTATTGTGAGCTTCCTACTTTCACTGTGAAAAAAATGAGTGTATATTTTCAAACACAGATACTAATTAATTCTAAAATTGCGTTTTGTTTAGAAAAAGAAAGAAAGTGATTTTTGCGTGTACACTTCCCCTTTAAGGGGAAGTAACTCTTTGACTTGGCATGATAAAAAAAACAGTCCAAGCAACAAGTTTATTCCACCCTACAGACGTGTATCGGTGATCACTCTAAACATCCCAAATCCATGTTTCTTCCAATTTGTGTGTTATTTCTCTCTTTCCAACTTTTGAAAACCATACCTGTAAACAAATAATAAACCCAAGTATGGTCGTATTGGTGAGCAATGACTGCTCTTCTTGAATCACATGAACACGTTTCTACACGGGAAAATAATTGAGAGTATCATCACTTCGCCATGATGCGTACCATGTCTCGTCACCTGACCAGTAACCAGATGTATGGACTGGTGCATGTTCAAGGAAATGGAAAGTAAAACTTATAACCTGTAACAAGCGCAGAGCTGTTTCCTCATCAGCATTGAGAGGTATCACACAATGTTACAAATACTTCCCTTAAGAACTTCTCTTGTCCCCATACTCTGCAGTATACAGAGGGCCTCTGTGCTATTCTCCCTGGACGTGATGGAGGACTTGAGGTATGCAAAATGTCGTGCTGACCATGGCATCATCGTTCGTCATTATATATGAAGCATTGCAATAAGCATCATATACATTGTACTGCTCGCCTTCACAGCTTGTGGCATGACTTGCTGTTTCTGTTCAAATTCATGCCTGTCAAATATGGGAGATCTATTTTTAAAAACTCCAGAAGCCTATACAGTGTATGGTAGCATTTCATTCCTGCTAGGGGCGGTCGGGTAGCCTTGTGGTTAAAGCGTTTACTCGTCATGCCAAAGACTGGGTTTGATTCCTGACATGGGTACAATGTGTGAAGCCCATTTCTGGTGTCCCCCACTGTGATATTGCTGGAATGTTGCTAAAAGTGGCATAAAACCATACTCACTCATTCCTGCTGGTTATATGGACCGTAAGTTACTGGCAGTGACATTATGATGTGTTTTTGTTAATTTAATGTATAACCAGGTGAGCTACAGTGCTTTAATGTGTATTAGATATCATAGGGTTTGCTTTTGATGACTTAAATTTCAAAGAACAATGGTTCAAAATAGTAGAAGCAAATATTTTTCCAACTTTCAATGAATATCGTGTTTAAATGTCTTATCTTTCTTGCAGAAACTCGACACCGCAATCAGCTGACATTGGCCCACTGACGAATTCTTACTCATCATCTGGTAAGAAATGTACTGCAACTCATGAAATTAATTCACCTCCAAATAATGCAAGTGATGTCCCCTGACAAAAATATTTAGAGGTTGCCTTCCCTTTAAAATTTATGCCATAAAGCGATCTCATTTATCGGCAAACGACTCCGAATACTGACTGCATACTGCTGCTTACAGGGTAGACACCACATGTGAATCTGACACTTTGATGAGCAGCGCGTTGTAGCTCTTAATTTTAGGGTGGTTTGACAAGGTGGTCATCATACACCTAAACTGTCTTGACTGCTTGGTCAACTTGAGTAAACTAACATTCACAAGACTTGACGCAGTTCTTGGTGAAAGTTACATACCAAATATTTTTTTTAAATATTGTTATTATTATTATTGTTGTTGTTAATATTGTTGTTATCATTTCCTGTTCTCTGTTGTCTTTGTGCAGGAAATCATTGTCATGATGATACAGAGTTGGGGAAAGTAGACAAGGGCGCTCGGCGGAAACTTATCATAGCCAGTGTGCTATGTCTTCTTTTCATGATAGGAGAGATTGCCGGTAAGAATCCTTGTCAAACAACGGTGTGCTGCATTCTGAATTGTTGTATGGGATTTTAAATTCTGGACTTTTCAATGCATAAGAACAATGAATACTTTTCTTGAGAAATATCTATTTTTTCTCAATCCCAAAATTTAAACAAATATGGTGTGTCTTGGTATATGGATATGGCATTCACAATGTATTAACTTATATCAATGTTGATCAAAAAAAAATTATTTGGGTATTTTTCATTCTGCTGACAATGAGGTTTCAGTTGTCACAGAAGCATATGACAGAATGTGTCATGATGTCATGTCCAGTCTCTCAGCTGGAAGAGTCCACCGTGGGCATCATCTTCCTGAATCAAGGGAGTTAACTGACTGAAGTCTAGTTTTCAGCCTTTTCGAACTATGTCCCTTCTATGTCCCTCCTATTGACCAATCAGATTCCACCTCTCATATCACTTGTATTTGTTTCAAATATAATGGTTTTGCCCAGACAAGACGATGTGATCAATAATCAAGATTTATATTGTAATAAAACAGGTCTTACTTTGCGAAATCACAATCAAATCACGTGAGCACCTTGATTAAAAACATGAAAAGATTTGGAAAATATCTGTTGACGCAAAGTTTTCGGTACACATGCTTTGCAAATCCTGCAATTGACCAAAAGCTGCTTTGCAGTTTACGAACCAGATGTCAATTTCATTACACGATTTTGATTGGACTATGCAAATACTCGTTAGACCAGCTAAAATATAACTCCATAATTCCAGCCTAGTTCAGTAAGGGTGGAAACTGGACTTTCATAGTCAGTTAACTCCCTTGCCTTAGGAATATGCTTGGCGCCAGTGTGGTTGGCGACCGTTGTTTATGTTTAGCGGCAGACTGCCTAGGTAGTGGGAGAGTTACCTCCCTTGGCTTGTGTCGTCTTCTCCTCACATGTTGTTTGGCCATTACTGAGAAGTAAAGCTACAAGTATATTGGAATACCTGTGTTGGGTTGTGAATTGCGAGGGTCCAAGCTGGCGTGGTGGCAGCGGAGACGATCATCCGCATCTCTGAACACGGCACTTAACCTGACTTTTGCAGTTACTACACGAATAAGTGTGCAATCTACCTGGTCGACATCGCCACGATAGCGCGGGTATTTCAAGTAGGCCTACTAGCATAACATCATGGCAAACACTCACAGAGCACCGAAACAGTGGTCTCTCACGAAACATGAAACTGTTAATTCGTTTGAGAATTGGAAACAAAACCTACTATATACGTTATCACTGGACACAAATTTTGCAACATTTCTTGCTGACGGCGCCACGTGGGGAAAACGTACACGTGCAACCCCGTTACGAGGATTTGAAAATGATGGGGAAGACGTTGCTGGAGCTCAACGCAAGACGGCAGTGCAAAAGGTAACATCACTCGAGTTAATGTTGGGCCAAATCGCCAATTATTGTCCTGTAATTGCCAGGAACACCATTGTGAAAAGTTCAGTATCGATTTCAAGTATCTGGCAGACTATCAGACTACACTACGGCTTCCAGTCATCTGGTGCACATTTTCTTGATTTGTGTGACATACACCTCCAACCTGAGGAGCGACCAGAGGATCTTTACCAGCGCCTGTCTGCATTTATGGAAGATAATCTGCTCAGACAAAATGGCGGAATCACTCATCATGGAGAGGCGATTGGCGAGGATGAGGAATTAACACCTACGTTAGAGAACATTATTATCCTGACTTGGTTGCGCCTTATCCATCCTGATTTGCCCAAGCTGGTGAAGCAACGATATGGAACGGAACTGAGATCCCGTACTCTAGCGTCAATTAAACCCTAAGATATCACAGGCACTCAATTCCCTGTTAGATGAAATACATTCATCTGAGGATGCCAAGGTCATGAGGACTGCTACCACTAGAGCAAACAACTTCAGTCAAAGATCTAATTTTAGACCTCGCATACAGCAGACATCCAATAAACGTCGTTACCAGTCAACCTCAAAAATGTGTCCCCTCTGTCACACAGCTGGTCGTCCTAATGACAATCACTTTCTCAGTGAATGTTCATACTTACCTGATCAAGACAGAAAATACCTGGCTAAGGCACGTCAAATAGCTAGCATCCTGGATGAGTCAGAGGATGAAGATGGACAGTACCCTCATACAGACACAGTATCTACACCTCCCGTTACTGCCTCAAGTGTAAACAATGCTTCAGTCAATAGAGTCAGTGTACGTCAGTCTCCATATATGAACGCATTTTATGGTCATAATGTCATATGTCTTACCCTCGACAGTGGAGCTACAGGTAATATGATCAGTCAGACTACTGCCAGGAGACTCGGCATTGAAGTCACCAAAAGTTCACACTCTGCCCATCAGGCTGATTGTTCATCCCCACTCCATATTGTTGGTGAAACATGAGTAACTCTCAGCCGTGACAATAAGGATTTTATTTTCGAGGGCCTTGTTGTGGAGAACCTTGATGTTGAGTTGCTTGCAGGAACACCGTTCATGGAAATAAATGATGTTGCCGTTCGCCCAGCTAAGCGCCAAATTACACTTGGAGATGGAACCACCTTCCAGTACGGCAACCAAGAAACCCACTCGTCACACCATACAGTTAGACGTGCACATGTCTTACGAGCGCCTAAGTCCCCTACAACAATCTGGCCTGGCGATTTCATAGAGTTATCACTCCCGGATGACCTGATCCACTCAGATGACACATTCGCAGTGGAACCACGTCTAACAGGTGATTTATTCAAAGACCACAAAGAATGGCCAACACCAGATATAGTGTCCAGCGTTTCAGGGAAGATTAGAATTCCTAATGACACCAAAGAGCCTCTTGTCCTCAAGAAGCATGAGCACTTTTGCCAGGTTCAACAAGTATTCACCATCCCAAACTCTGGGACCGAGATGGTCGATAGTCAATCAGAAAGCATTCCTCTCAGACAGTCCACTACTACATGCAAGGTCAATTGTTCAGAACAGGTACGCATTGACCCAGATAACCAGTTCACACCAGACACTCGCAACAGTTTCCACGCCCTCATAAAGGAGTACGATGATGTGTTTAATCCACATGTCCATGGATATAATGGAAAATCTGGCCCGTTCAAGGCAGTTGTCAACATGGGTCCTGTCCAACCCCCTCAACGCAAGGGACGAGTCCCACAATACTCACGTGACAAACTTGTAGAGTTGCAAGACAAATTCGATGAGCTTGAGGACATTGGTGTCTTCGTCAAGCCTGAAGATGTGGGGATATCAGTGGAATATTTAAATCCATCCTTCCTTGTCAAGAAGTCAAATGGTGGATTTCGTCTGGTTACAGCATTCACAGATGTGGGGCGGTATAGTAAACCACAACCATCACTCATGCCTGATGTTGATTCTACATTACGCCAGATAGCTGCATGGAAGTACATCATAACCACAGATTTAACAAATGCGTTTTACCAAATACCCCTGTCACGTGGATCAATGAAATATTGTGGTGTGGCCACTCCCTTCCGTGGAGTCCGTGTTTATGCCCGATCAGCCATGGGCATGCCGGGCTCTGAAACTGCGTTAGAAGAATTGATGTGTCGTGTGCTTGGGCACTTGCTCAAGGAAGGATCAGTGGCCAAGTTGGCAGATGACTTATATTGTGGAGGTAATACCGTAGACGAGCTTCTGAACAACTGGCGACGTGTTCTACAGGCCTTGCAATTCAATGGACTAAAGCTTTCAGCTGCCAAGACTACTGTCGGCCCTTCTAGTGTGACCATCTTAGGATGGATTTGGAAAAATGGCTCAATTCAAGCAAGTCCTCACAGAATTTCCACCCTCTCTAGTTGCACCCGTCCATCTACAGTCAAGGGTTTGAGGTCGTTTATTGGAGCCTACAAAGTGTTAGCCCGGGTAATACCAGGTTGTGCTGGACTATTGGGTCCATTGGACACTCTTCAAGCTGGACGTCCTTCAGCAGAGAGAATAGTTTGGTCAGAGGTACTTATCTGTGCCTTTGGAAATGCTCAATCTGCACTATCCTCACATAAAACCATTGTTCTTCCTCGGAGGGATGACCAGCTATGGATCGTTACAGATGGAGCAGTGAAAAACCATGGCATAGGTGCTACTCTCTACATTACAAGGAACAACAGTACTCTCCTCGCTGGTTTCTTCAGTGCCAAACTGCGCCAGCGTCAAATGACATGGCTACCGTGTGAAATAGAAGCGCTATCTATAGCTGTTGCCACCAAGCACTTTAATCCTTACCTTGTACAGTCAAGCCTACAAGCATGTATCCTGACTGACAGTAAACCATGTGTTCAAGCATATGAAAAGTTGTGTCGTGGAGAGTTTTCAGCAAGCCCCAGAGTGTCTACCTTTTTGTCGACAGTGAGTAGATACCAGGCCTCTGTTCGCCATCTCAGTGGTTCTGCAAATATTCCATCTGATTTTGCCAGTAGAAATGCATCCAAGTGTGACGAGCCCCTGTGTCAGATTTGCTCATTCATTCGTCAAACTGAGGACTGTACGGTACGTGGTACTTCTGTTCAGGACATCATGTCAGGGAAATCTAAACTGCCATACACCAACAGGAATGCATGGCTCGCCATCCAGTCAGAGTGTTCTGATCTCAGACGCACACATGCTCATCTCATACAGGGCACTCGTCCATCCAAGAAACAAACTGATGTTAAAGACGTAAAACGTTATCTACAGTCTGTGACCATCGCCAAAGATGGTGTGTTGGTGATTCAAAGAAATGAGCCCCTTGTTACCATCAGAGAGTGCATCGTCATTCCACGACAAGTCTTGGATGGATTACTGACTGCAATGCACATCCAGTTAAATCATCCTTCTGCCCACCAGTTGAAACTCGTTGTGAACCGCTACTTCTATGCTTTGGACATGGATCAAGCAATAACTAAAGTTTCAAGCGGATGTTATCACTGTACATCTCTTCAACAGGTTCCCCACACAGTTGTGGCTCAGTCATCTACTGATCCCCCAGAGATCATTGGAGCCGTGTTTGCTGCAGATGTAATAAAAAGAGAACGACTTGAGAGAGACTCATACTTGTGTTGAGAGAATGTGTCACATCTTTCACCTGTACATGTGCCATTGAAAATGAGCAAAAGGGAACCCTACGTGAGGCTTTGATTCGCCTAAGTGTTGAGATGAGACCATTAGATGGACCCCCGGCGGTCATCAGAACTGACCCAGCTCCAGGGTTTAAGGCCTTAGTTCAAGATGACCTTCTCCGAAGTCAACGTCTTTGCATTGAAATTGGTCGAATAAAGAACAAGAACAAGAATCCCGTAGCCGAGCGAGCTATTCAAGAGCTGGAGCTGGAATTGTTAAAAAGTGATCCTTTGGGGGGGTCGGTCACACCTATAACCCTAGCTATAGCCACTGCTCAACTAAATTCTCGCATCAGATCCAGAGGGTTATCCGCCAGGGAAATGTGGACACAAAGAGATCAATTTAACAACCACCAAATACCCGTTGGAGACAGAAAATTGATCCTTGACCAACATCACCGGCGAACTACCAATCACCTACACAGTGAGATGTCTAAAGCCCATATCCCTAGCCTGCCCACCCCTAACATCAGCATTGGTGACCTGGTATATCTACATGCAGATCGTAATAAATCACGGTCACGAGATCAATACCTTGTGGTTGTTAACGATGGTGAATGGTGCAACATTCAGAAGTTTGTGGGTTCCCAACTTCGAAGCACATCATATAGAGTAAAAAAATCAGAGTGCTTCAGAGTTCCATGTCAACATGAACGGTCAAGTGGACTTCCTCAGCATTATGTGTGCGATGAGTCTTCTGATGGTGAGATAGATACTGTTCCCCAAAGGACTGAACCACCTACCCTTCCCATCGTTCCCCCAGTGCTAAATGAACCATATCATGACCAAGACATTTTAGTCAACCCACCAGACCATCCTCCTCTTGATAATCAGGACTCCTTGCGTGAAAATGTTAGTGACAATGACATTGTGAATACAGATGACACTGATGATACCGTGTATTCAACTCCAGTCTGTGCACAAAGGAGGTCAATCCGTGCACGGCGACCACCTCAACACCTCAATGACTATGTAACCGATTTCTAACATGTTTATGTTGCTATGTCCATCAACTGTGTCTGGATACCTTTTCGCATTTAGGCTATAGTTATGGTGTCGTATCAGCTTATATCACGTGATGTCAAGGATATCTACATCAGGTTTTAAGTTTTATTGTGACCAGTTATTTTGGGTATTGTTTATGACAGTATGAGTCTTTAATAGTAACCCATATCAGGTAATGTGTTACAAAGAAAAAAGGAGGTTGCGCCAGTGTGGTTGGCGACCGTTGTTTATGTTTAGCGGCAGACTGCCTAGGTAGTGGGAGAGTTACCTCCCTTGGCTTGTGTCGTCTTCTCCTCACATGTTGTTTGGCCATTACTGAGAAGTAAAGCTACAAGTATATTGGAATACCTGTGTTGGGTTGTGAATTGCGAGGGTCCAAGCTGGCGTGGGGACAGGTGGCCCTGTCATCTTATACCCAATTCACATGCACTTCTTTACATATGTGTGTAGATATACATTCGTGAGTTACTTGTCATGTGAACGCATTTGTTCATATGTGTATATTTGTCAGCAGGTGCAACTGTAAATGTCACTATGTATATGTTGTCATGTGAACGTGTATGCCAATGCCAGAGGATGATCTAATTGATGTACCTGTTCATTGGACAACACCAGACAAATTGTCACAATTCTGTACTCTGAAGTTGAAACTATTCAGGGCTTCAGCAACCCATGCTTGCCGTAAAAGGCTACGATGCTTGTCGTAAGAATGGACTAACAGAATCGGGTGGTCAGGCTTGCTCACATGGTTGATGCATGTCATCGCATCCCAATTGCACGGATCGATGCTCATGATGTCAATCACTGAATTGTCTGGTCCAGACTTGATTATTTACAGACTATTATAGAATATTGCTGAGTGCGGTGTTAAAAAACAAAGAAACAAACAATGGAGTGCTAGAAACCTGTGATTGTAGGTTAAAATGCTAGATTTTGAACTGATTATGTTTCCAGGTTTGTCAGTACTATATCCATGCTCGTGGGTCTCACTAAATTGGAAAGATGAGAATTTTCTGGGGATCTGCGGAATTCCACACCAAGTCCACTTTTGTGATTCATGCCATTATGATATATATATATATATACTCATAAATCATATAGTGCCACAAACCCCTTTCAGTGTTCGATTTAAAAAAAAACAACTTTCTCCAACCTGAAATTGGTAAATACATCTAAGACTTTCATTACTAAGAGTTTTTCTCATACATTAAAGGGGCACTGATCTAACACAATTCCCCGGGACTGGTTGTTACCTTTGTTATTGTTTTTTCCCAGTGAGTACCCGGATGTATAGCAGAAATCTAGACTAGTTCGCGACCTCTGCTGCGCCATTCGTAAGCGCATTAGTCGCTTTTATGGGTAGTAATAAGGGCGTATGGTCACATTGATGAACAAAATGAAATACAGTTTTCGAGATAATAAGGAAATGTAGGTATCTTTGTGGGTAGCATCGGTAATGGTGACGAAGTTTTGATAAGTCACTTGCTTGGTAATTTTGCGATTTTCGTTTACACTATTTTGACTTGCAACACAAAGTACATATTTCACCTGAGCATTGCTTTTTTTATAGTGTGTATTTTTTTTTACTGTCAAATGTGTAACAAATTTATTAAACGTCTAAATATTCAGTTATTTTACAAAGTGACTGAAAAACATTTCCATCTGTATTATTATGATAACGAATTCCAAACATTTTGATGTTTAATGTCATCACCAAGAGACTGAAAATGTTACGTTGAGAAAAGTACATTTCTATGTTGTTTGGCTTCTAATCCTACATAATAATCTGTTGTGATGTTTGTAGGCCTTTTTGATCGTCTTAATCAATCTGGACAGATTTTTTAGTCAAAATGACTGAAATATTTACACATTTTATAAATTGCCTAAGAGAATCACATTTTACAAATTGACGGTAATATATACACGCTTACAAAGGAAAAGACCTGTGAAAACAACGTCTATCGCGCATTGAAGAATTTCCCAACCAAGACGTAGAGAAACAAGAACGAATCGGTTCAAAGGAAGGAAAACAAAATGCAAATATCATAAATAAAACCTACCAAATTTATGTGTATAAATTTTAGGCAGCGTCCTTGTTCGAGGAATGTATCCGTGAATATCCACACAAAGGAACAATATCTCACTCGTCTGCAGATGTACAAAGAAACTTATTCGATGTCACGTGTCTCAGTAACAATCAAATATTTTAAAAGATATATGTCGTTTCGGGATATTATAACCCGTGTTCGTTTCTCAACTGATCACTTGGATTGTTTCAGGTGTTTTACATAGGTGTCAAGTCTCAAGGGTCGGCTGAGAAAGCCCACGTGACAACTATTTTCATAACGTTCACGGTTCCTAAAAAATCCATTTAGTGATAGATAACAATGATCAATCAATCAACGTATTATAAGTTAACCCTTTGAACAAAGTATGTTGTTTTTACATCGGCACTTCACGCCATGGTATGAGTGTATTCCTTTTGTTTTAGTAAACCTAGACATGTAAACACTCACTCTTGACATATCCACTGTGCAAGATAACAGTGATTAATCAATCAACGTATTTTCTGTTAATCCTTTGATGACTAGGAACGTTCAGTTGATTTACAAAAAAATGAATCAACTGATCGTTCATCTCTTGCTGGGCTGCCACGTGCATATTACATAACACACATTTCACCTCACTTCAAACCTGGATTTAGATTGAATAATTACCCCAGACACAATAAATGCCAAATGGGAACCTTTGTCAGGTAATCTAAGTGGTGCTACTGTACCACTAATTGTACCTGTAATAAATTCATTAACTGAGCATCAAGTGGATGACGACAAATACACAAGTGAAGGGTTATACGAGAAAACGTGGATGTCAACAAGGGAGTAGTAATCGTATTATCGACACAAGCCGAAATCCGAAAATGCTTTCACTGCATGGATACCTTTTTTAGTATAAAACTATAACCATCTGGGGTATTTCCAAATGACGACATCCGATGAGCTCCGCTGTTCTTTTTGTCTGCTTGTTTAGGCTGAAGAAATTAATTAACATGCGCCCTTTGTCGAAATCTGTATAGATCACAGTTAACCAATCAGTGTTTATGCAAAAATGCGTAAAACAAATATTGCCTCCAGCCTCCAAGTTTATTTAGCTGTCCTTGCAGACGGTAGCCCAGTCTCTGGTCACGCTCAGTTGCGTTGCGTATCATCCGGGTACTCACGGGGGAAAAAACAATAACAAAGGCAACAACCAGTCTGGGGAATTGCGTTAGATCAGTGCCCCTTTAAGCTGACATTATTTTGATTTTACCTTTGTAAGCGGCCTAAACTTACTGATTTCCTCTTGGTTTTAGGTGGTTTCCTGGCCCACAGTCTGGCTCTGATCTCCGACGGGGCCCACCTCCTGACAGACTTTGCCAGCTTCATGATCTCACTGCTAGCCCTGTACCTCGGCACAAGGAGGTCCACTAAGAAACTCAGCTTTGGCTGGTACAGAGCTGGTAAGTAGCACAACATGGTAGTGTTTCCTCAAAATAGTTCTTCCTGTTTCTACCTGTTCTGCTCAAGTCCCAAACTGACATAGTTCAGCCACATGTTTTGATTGGATGGTAAATGGTTAATGTAGGAACAAGTTTGCTTTGGTAGGTCTATACAATAAGAAGATTTATTTATTTTAAACTATTTTTTTCCATTTGTCACTCAACGTCATATTGGGTGGTGCAGCTGTTAATATTGTAATCTTATTCTGTAGAACATGATGTTTACTATAGAGTTACAAGGGATGTAACCGATAGATGACCTGTCACCCCAACGAGGCAAAAATGAATAATTCATGAATAATTCATGAATGTTCATGAAATAATTTATTGTTTCTCATACTTTTGTGAATATGCATAAACGTAAAACATTTTTAGTTCATGAATGTTCATAAATCTAAAAAAGCATGAATATTCATGAAATGGTATGGTTCATGAGCTGGTGTGGTTCATGAACATTCATGACTGATATGCTTGAAAAATGCATCCCATTTTAAGTTCGTGAATTAATTAGATTCATGACCTAAATGCTTTCTTAAAAGTGCATGATTGTTGCCATTTACAATGTTTATGAGTTACATTTGAATGATTAAGTCACATTTTTATCAAGAAATCTGGAAGCGAATGTATCGTTGCATATTCTAAACTCAACTTGCTGTTTTTGGCCACAAGAAATAGCAAAATTTGTAATTCTGGCAGGGTGGCCATCTTCAGTTCATGAGCATTTTGTACCCAATTTCCCTCATTCAATAAGTACTCTTAGTATTAACGATAACTCCCCACAGAAGGAGACACTTATATCATGTACACGGAATGCTTAGCGTTTTAGCCTCGTCCTGATTTGTTCAGTTTGATTGATGTTTATTTAAGTTATTTTAGAAACAAAAGCGAAGTCGGCCTTTCCAGTTGTTTTTCATTTACAGTCAGTATATTTTATGTTGTCCCTTGCTGTCCTGTGACATCCTACTGTTAGAACTTAATACACACAATGGACACTGCAGCTTTCGCGGTATGATAACATCATGTTGCGCTAATAACTTGTCCTCAGGATTACAACTAGCTAGATTCTATATGCTACTGACAAACTTGAATATCTTTGGATGCTAGCTTCATTACACAAGCCATCAGTGTGACGACAGTTGGACATATTATTCGGCTACAGTCATGAAGTTAGTGAACGTGTTGTTCTCAACATGTTGGTATTCTGAATGAACAGTGGTTGTGTTTTCTTGGATGCATTTTGGAAATAAAGTTGAACATTATAAAAACACATTTATTAAACACTTACCGCTATGTTCATGGAAAACAGTACTCTGATGACCATGCTTGTGTCGTCGGTATGCGTAGGGGCGCCGGGGTCTTGATATTGTCCTGTCTGTGTCCGAATATTGTCCTGTCTGTTACAGAGGTGCTCCGAGTGCTGGTGTCCTAATATTGACCTGTCTGTTACAGAGGTGCTCGGAGCGCTGGTGTCTTGATAGTGACCTGTCTGTTACAGAGGTGCTCGGAGCGCTGGTGTCCTAATATTGACCTGTCTGTTACAGAGGTGCTCGGAGCGCTGGTGTCCTAATATTGACCTGTCTGTTACAGAGGTGCTCGGAGCGCTGGTGTCCTAATATTGACCTGTCTGTTACAGAGGTGCTTGGGTGCTGGTGTCCTTACATTGACCTGTCTGTTACAGAGGTGCTCGGAGCGCTGGTGTCCTAATATTGACCTGTCTGTTACAGAGGTGCTCGGAGCGGTGGTGTCCTAATATTGACCTGTCTGTTACAGAGGTGCTCGGAGCGCTGGTGTCCTAATATTGACCTGTCTGTTACAGAGGTGCTCGGAGCGGTGGTGTCCTAATATTGACCTGTCTGTTACAGAGGTGCTCTGGCGCTGGTGTCTTGATAGTGACCTGTCTGTTACAGAGGTGCTCGGGTGCTGGTGTCCTAATATTGTCCTGTCTGTTACAGAGGTGCTCAGAGCGCTGGTGTCCTAATATTGACCTGTCTGTTACAGAGGTGCTAGGAGCGCTGGTGTCCATCCTGCTGCTGTGGGTGCTGACTGGCATCCTGTGCTACTCGGCTGGACTCCGCATCGTGGAGGACAACTACACCATTGATGCCGAAATCATGCTGATAACAGCTGCTTGTGGTGTCTTCTTTAATGTTGTGTAAGTTTTTGCTTTTACATTATAAGTTATCAACCGATCTCAAGGAGTATATGGTGTGATATACCCTCTAGCTCGGGTACATACAGTCACACACAGAGTACATCAAACCATATGCCCCGAGGGATCAGTTGAAACCCTGTTGATCTGATTTCTGTATCTAGGCTTCGTTTCCGAGCCATAACTCTTTAACTAATGAATATATTTTTGCATGAAACTATGCTTATGCAATAAGCACATGCTCCACAACTGCCTTCTCATATTTTTTAATCTAGAATTATTTTTGGACTTAGTTTCAAACAAGAAGTGTTTGTTTCCTGCCAAAACTCCACAGCAAATGCATATTTCTGCGTGAGACCATTATCTTTCCAGGTTTTAATTTCCTATTACTGTTTTTTGGATTTGCAAACACATTTACAGAAACAACTGGAACTAATGTATCTAAAAATAGGGAGGGAGGAGACACATGTTTTTGAGTCATGACACATTCTAGTTTTATTCTGTGGCAGTTTTCTTATGCTAAGAGCATAATTTCTCAATCAAGGTACCATGTAGTCAAGAAATGAAGTTAAATCATTTTAGAAATCTGTTTCTGATTGGCTCCAGAACCCACACATCCTCCTTCAATTTGATTGGGTTGTCAAAGTTTATGCAGGGTTTACCTGACGCGACCTTCTATGGAGTTATCCTCAGACCGTTTAAGGCGCCGCGATTCGCTGTGCAGAGTTGCATCCCTCGGGCACACCAGAAACCTATGATTGTGGGTTTGATTCCCGGTTCGCTCCAATTATGTTTCTAGGTTTGTCAGCACCATACCCGTGCTCGTGGGTTTCACCCAAGTGGTAAGTGACCTGCATCACTCTGGTCTTCCCTCTCACATTAAGCTGACATGCTGTGATATAATTCAAATACAGGCAAGTCTCGTTAATTCGACACTCGTTAATCTGACAATCGTCTTTATCCGACGCTAATGATGGGAACCGATTAAATCAGTGCTATTTAGACCCGATAATCCGACAGTCTCGCACTCCGACTCCGACTCCGACTCCGACTCCGACACACCTTATTTGCAACGAATTACCGAAATCACTCATTAATCAGTCCTGTTAATCCGACACAGTCATCAGCGTACTCCGTGGTCATCTGCCCGCGAGTACACAGCCCGTGTTTTGATGCGAGACGAATTGGCTGGTAGCTGCAGAGATAAACTTGCTTAACAATAAACAATTTATGCTTTAAATAAAAAGAAATGGGATAAATCACATGCTTAGATTACCTCAATCTTATTAAAATCAGATACAAGTTCTCGCTTTAGGCGAGGACATCCCATTACAGGTCACGTCAGAACAACCTTTTACGAACTATGACCTACCAATGAAATGACCAACAGGAAGTCGACGTTAGCCACTTAGAAAGCAGCTTTCTTAAGCTTTAGGTACCAGTTTCAAAGTTGTGACTTCCATTCCAGACTTTTTAAAGTATTTTGAATAAGTCATACAGTCCATAACAGTTGTTTTGTGTTAAACTTTAGAGGTTGCATGATTAGAAAACATATTCCGCCAACAATGTAACATAACAATATGAATATTTATTTTCTATTTTTTATTACGTGTTTGAATCCTTATATCTATCGTGTAGTTGTCCGATTTTCGATCACGAACGTTGATAATATTTAAATTCGTTTATCTGACATACTCGTTAATCCGACATAATCATATGCAACAATCGATATCGGATTAACGGGACTTGACTGTACTGTTAATAGCGGCGTTAAACCCAACTCACTCACTCACTCATTCATTACATGGTACATTAACAATTATGTTTGCATTATATCAACAGTGGTGTCTTCATGTCCACAATGGTGCAGGGAACATGAACTACTGGTGTGCTTTATATCAATCTCATTAAAATCAGATCTTAGTTCTCGCTACCACTAAACAAAGATCTGAGGACATCCCATTATGGGTTACGTTAGACCGACCTTGCGCGAACTTTGACCGACCAATGGAATGACCAATCAGAAGGCAGCTTTCTCGTGCTTTACGGCACAAATTTCAAATTGGCGACTTCGCTTCGAAGCATATTTTGACAAATTCTCGATTACAAATTTGAACAAAACAACATTCTGGAATGACTTATAGATGGTCTAGATTGTAAGGATTCAGTTGTTAGACCCGTAACTATCGTTCGGAATACCCCATGTTAAAGTTTTCAAGATTGCATGATTAGAAATCACATTCCGACTGTCACTTTCATAATCTGGTAAGCGACGCATTGATTGGTCGGATGAAAGGTCGTTCTGACGTGACCCCTTATGGAATGTCTCGTCAGATCTTTGCTTTGCAAGAACTAAGATCTGGTTTTAATGAGATTGGCTTTATATGGACTTTCATATTTCACTTGAACCACGTGGATAATTTTCATGGTCCATTTTTATATTAACCCCACTGTAAGTATTTTGTAAGCTGTGTGTCAATCAGCTCAGAAACATGACCTTATACTGCAGTGCTCGACACTAACACTGGTCCACTGGTCCGCGTATAGTATATTTTGTGGAGGACCAGTAAGATTATAATAAATGGTGATCTGGTGGTCTAGTGTTGTTTTGGGGACGAACAAAGTAATTTAAGTTTGTACGACTTTAGAAATCAGCAATCGATCAAGTCTAAACTCTAAGCACCATTGTGTCCAGTAGAGATCCAACAGGACCAGTAGAGTTTTTTGGGGTGCTACGTTCGACCACTGACAAATTTTGGTCAGTGTCAAGTACTTATTACCAGTTAGGAATTGTTTCAAATAATGTATTTTTGATATTGTTTCCATTGATGTTGTTTCTGAAGCTTTTGTGTCAGATGCTGTTGCTTCAGAAACTCTTTGAATCAAAGCTGTTGTTTCTCAAAACTGCTTTTTCAGATGCTGATGTTTCCTATACTACTGTTTCCATTGCTTGCTTCTGATACTGTTGTTTCAGAAACTGTTGTTTGAAATGCTGTTTGAGTGACCGATCTTCTCTTTCAGCCTCGGGGTCACCCTTCATCAAAGTGGACACGGTCACTCCCATGGTGGGATGTCACACGCTCACTCTCACGGTCACTCCCACAGCATTGCCAGCAAGCCAGACCGAGGGTTTGATTATGGTTCCCTCACTGATGACAGTGGCCATTCACACAGTCGACCCAAGTATGGCAGCATCTCTGAAGCAAATCATGAGGCACATACTGAGACACAGGAGTCCAAGAAAAAGGACAGTAATATCAACGTGAGAGCCGCATTTGTCCATGTAGTAGGGGATCTACTGCAGAGCGTTGGAGTACTAATAGCTGCTTTTATTGTATATTTCAAGGTAAGAAACCTTTTATAACTTTATGATACCAAATAGAATAATGTAGTGACTTTTACCATGTCTACTTGAGCTTTAACCGTATCTACTAGAGCTTTACCATGTCTACACAAGCTTCTACCATGTCTACTCGAGCTTTTGCCTTATCTACTCGAGCTTTTGCCATGTCTTCTTGAGCTTTTACCAGATCTACTAGAGCTTTTATCTTGTTTAACCTTGTTTAACATTTTACCGACCAATCGGACGTTGAGATAAGGAGATGGGTATGGGAGGTAACTCATATTACCATGTTGCTGATATCGCCAACCAACATTGAGTAAGGATAAGATATATGGATGAACAACTTCTTTATTACCATTAGGAATGACGTTTTGGTGTAGGTTCTAACACCGTTATCAAGCAAGTGATGTACAGAGTATGGTTGACAAGTATATATACAGGATAGGAGGCAGTGTTTATACAGTTGTGTAGGTTTAAGATGCAGTTACACTGCTGGAGTGGAGAAGCCTGTTATGTACGCAGAAGGGTAAAACATATTGGCCGGTGAAGCCTGTAATATAAACAAAATATTGTTATAAAGAAGCCCAACTTCTAAATGGCTCTCGACCCGTGAAGATCCGGGGTAGAATAAGCCTTCAGCAACCCATGCTTGCCGTAAAAGGAGACTATGCTTGTCATAAGAGGCAACTAATGGGATTGGGTGGTCAGGTTCGCTGACTTGGTTTGAAGCATGTCAGCAATCCCAATTGCATGGATCAATCATGATGTCAATCTCTGGATTTTCTGGTTCAGACTTGATTATTTACAAACCGCCGTCATATAGCTGGAATATTGCTGAGTGCAGCGTTAAACAACAAACAAACAAATCTAAATGCCTCTCAGAGAAGTTAACCAACATTGTGGCTTGTCTGTAACTCGCATTCCGTTAGACTGAGTAGCATTGCAAATCGAATTTGCTAATGAAAATCAAGGCCTGGTAGTTTGAGATCGCGAGGACCATGGGAATGGCGGTAATGTAGGTTTACCGAAATGTGAGTCCTGCAGATATAAAGGATGCATTTGCACAGACATGACCAACAATTGGTCTGATATGTGTAAACTGGTGTAGAGCTTAAATTATTTCTCAGTATCCAATGTCAGTCCTGGCATCCAATTTTGATAACTCTAACACTTCTTTTTGATTGATTTTTTTACTAGTTTTTGTGTACAGCTGATTTCTTTGACTATTTGTCAAAGTTGGTCAGTTTGAACATAACAATGTTACAGGTCACATGATAATGCCTTCAATATGTTTTGGGGAATAAGGTTAAGCGTCATGTATCCCTGAGTAACAGTATTCAACCCAATTAAAATATTAGTAGTACTTTCTTTCTGTTATTTGTTTTTAAAATGTAAATAATTAATAAACAATAAAGTCATTAATAACATGGTTGGAATAAGAATGAAACAATTCTATTTTGTATGTAGAGTAAATAATACTACTAATGATAAAACTATAATAATGGAAAAAACTAAATTGCCATTTGTTTTTGAAATTTGTTTTACCTTTTATGATGAGATTTTTAAAATTCAAGGAAATATTTTACTCATTCAAATATATACTTAGCTACATGCATTCTTTTTCACACTCTTTCACTTTCAAATATACTGTAGCGATACTCTAAACATATTTCCTCTATTTCAGCCTGAGTGGAAGATAGCTGACCCAATTTGTACGTTCTTGTTTTCTGTGTTTGTCGTCGTGACAACAGTGACTATTCTCAGGGACATCCTGGTCGTCCTGATGGAAGGTGAGTTAGATGCCAGGCATTGAACAAATAGCTTCATCCCAAGTTGCATAGGTACACCAGTAAATATCAGATCTGTTACTCCAGTACCATACCTCTCTGCATGAAAATATGACAACTCATACGTAAGATTTCAGGTGAGGTCAAATCTGAGCAAACTTTGACTGCCCAGTCTGGATGAAGGTTGCGCGGATTCTTGATAGTTTGATATTAGCTTTCTTAAGTGAGAACCTTTATATTTTACATTTGGGACTGGCTGTTTAAGTTTGTTTTGAGACTGAGAGGTCATGTGTTACTCCAACCAAGAGTTTTTAAGACTTGACACTGATTGGCTGTCCACATGACACGACCTGAGGCAAGGGAATTAACAGAAAGTCCAGTTTCTATCCTTGCCGAACAAGGCTGGAATTTCTGAGTTATTTTTTGGCTGGAGTAACAGGTCTCTACATAGTCAAATCAAAATTGTGTTAAGAAATCAACCTCCAGTTTGTAGAGAAATCGGCGACTACCGTGCAGATTTCAGACGATTGCAGGATTTGTAGATCGTGTTAGGTAGGCAGAGCATGTACTGTTGTGTTGGTCATCTACCCCCTGTGACTCCCCTTGGTTTAACCGCTGATCGTCTGTAACACTCATCAATTATTTGGACCCCAAAGGTAACAATGTATCGAGGGATCGCAAGATGTAACCTTTTAGTGTGTGTTTCTAGGTACCCCCAGGAACATTAACTTTGCTGATGTGAGGGATGCATTTTTCACAGTCAAGGGCATCAAGGACATTCACGATCTACGTTTGTGGTCCCTCACCCTGAATAAGACAGCACTTTCGGTTCATATTGCAGTTGGTAAGTCTGAATTCAAATGCAATAGTACTTTAGATGGGTGGTCTTTAGTTCACCTTTACATTGTCAGTGTGAAATTGGGGGAGCATGGGTGGCCCAGTCGTCTAAGACGCTGTGATTTGCTGGGTTGCGTCCCATGGGCATGCCAGAAACCTATGATTGCTGATTCAAATCCCAGTTCGCCCTGATTATGTTTCTAGGTTTGCCAGCACCATACCCATGCTCATGGGTTTCACCAGAGTGGTAAACGTCTGAGACCTGCATCACTTTGGGCTTTCCTCCCACATTGAGCTGACACGCCATGATATAACTGGAATACTGTTAAAAGCAGTGTAAACCCAACTCACTCACTCACCCATTGTGTTATGGGTCTTTGTTGTTTGTCTTTTTGTCCCTCATTAACATTTCCAATGGAACCCTGAAACCTTTAGAATTCTAGGCATAATTTTTTCTCCTAATCGAGATAAAATGATTAAACTTAACTTTGAAAGCAAAATCTTTGAAATTGAACAAACCATCAAGAGATGGATGAAAAGAATTATAACCCCATTAGGCAAAATTGCAATTATCAAATCAATGCTCATTTCAAAACTTAATTTCCTTTTCCTTACCCTTCCTAGTCCCCCAGATGAATTCCTTAGAAAGATAAATACTATTCTTTTCAAGTTTTTATGGGATAATAAACCAGACAAAATAAAGAGAACAGTTGCTTGTAAACCTATTTCCCTTGGAGGACTTGGTATGATAGATATTTTTGCATATGTTGACGCTTTGAAAATAATCTGGATAAAAAAGTTACTAAATGTTGATTTGGAAAAGAAATGGAAAATTTTAATGACTGATACTACTCCTGAAGTTCCTGATCTACTATTTATGGGAAGTGATTTTCCACTTAAGCTTGCTAAAAAAACTAAAAACCAATTTTGGAAAGATTGTTTTACTGCCTTTTCTAAATATAGCAATAAAATAAAACCCAATAATTATGAAGAGTTCCTAAGGGAACCTCTGCTATACAATAAAAACATTATTATAAATGGCAAATCATTAGATAACAAAACCTTTCATCTCAATAATATACACAGCATACATTGCTTGCTAAACAATGATGGAAATTTTATGACATTGCAACAATTCTGTAATAAATACTTCAATATAAATTTTCTTGAATTTTATGGTATTACAAGATCAGTAAATACATACATGATACAATTAGGTTTTAATAAAGACCTGCATCTGGAAACAACAAACAATACAAATATATCTATTGCCAATCTCTTTTCATGTAAAAAAGGCTCAAAGAAATATTACTATGTAATAAGTCAAACCGATGAAAGCTTAAAAGTTATTGACAAGTGGGAAGAGGAACTTTTAATGGATATGAACTGGCCTAGCTTATTTATCAGAGCACACAAAACTACTCCAGACCCTAAACTTAGATGGTTTCAGCTTAGATTGCTCCATAGAATTCTACCTGTTAATACTTATCTACTCAAGATGCATATTGTTGACAACTGTCTATGTACTTTCTGTAATGCTGAGCCAGAATCTATCCAACATCTGTTTTGGGACTGTAGGGTAAGCAAAAATTTCTGGAAAAGATTTTCACAATGGATTGAATCCAAGTGTCCACATACTGGCAAGATAAATCTTACTTCAGACCTAATTCTTTTTGGCTTTTCAAAACATTTCCACACTGATGATATTTTTGATGTGATACTCTTATTGGCCAAATTTACACATTTATAGATGCAAAATGAAAAATAACCAACCAACCATTACACATTTCCAAAATGAGGTTAAATATTATTACCAACTAGAAAAATATAGACACTTTAATAAAGCCAAACAGACTGAATTCTATACGAAATGGGCTCCTTATGAAAACCTTTTGAAAATATAAACATTTGCTATTCCAAAACTTTACTAAATATATATCCTGCATCCTGTCTTCATAAGTACTAAAGCTTCTAGTGAGTGTGAATGTGTGTATGGATGTGTGCGAATGATATGTACTTTCTGAAAAAACCCTGGTCATGTATTTTGACTCTCATCCAAACATGATGTACTTTTACCAGGAACAATTTAAAAAACAAAACAAAAAAAAAAAAAAAAACATTTCCATTTTCCCATCTTCTTATAAACAACAAGGCTTTCGCCCAAAACATAAATTACTCTGTTTTAAAGTACGTTCTTCCCCCTGCATCTGGATTTTCAATTTTCCAGAGTTTTTGTGAAGGGCAGGTAACTCTTGCTTTCTCAAAAATGATCGTACAATCTGAACTTGAAGCATGATCCTCTCTGGTCTGTGCAGATTGTGTGTGTGTGGCGAGAGGGGGAGGGGAGCATAAAGCCTCAGGGGCTTGTCAACTGTCGTTTAGACATCACTCTACTGAACTCATATGAATCACTGCTAAAAGGTCTTTTCCTTCCAGAGACAACTACAATTTTTTCTCCATCCAAATGAACTTGTGAATAAAAAAAACCTATGTATCATTTTATAGGCCAAATCAAAAGACCAAACTTCATACTTATTTTGGGGATGAGTTTGACTGTCATTTTTTTCCAGCGGTTTTACGCAATTTCTGTTTTTCAAATGTTATTTTGGTCAAGCATTTGTGATTAAGTGTGCCCCGAAGTATTAAAATCTGCAAAGTTGCTATGTTGGGTTTACTTTCCCTTTAAGACCTCTATCACTTTGGGCTTACCTCCCACATCAAGCTGACATGCCGTGACAGTGGATTTGCACTTAACTCACTATATCCTACACTTAACTCACTATCTCCTATACTTAACTCAACATCTCCTACACTTAACTCAACATCTCCTACACTTAACTCAACATCTCCTACACTTAACTCACTATCTCCTACACTAAACTCACTATCTCCTACACTTAACTCAACATCTCCTACACTTAACTCAACATCTCCTACACTTAACTCAACATCCCCTACACTTAACTCACTATCTCATACACTTAACTCACTATCTCCTACACTTAACTCACTATCTACTACACTTAACTCAACATCTCCTACACTTAACTCACTATCTCCTACACTTAACTCACTATCTCCTACACTTAACTCACTATCTACTACACTTAACTCAACATCTCCTACACTTAACTCACTATCTCCTACACTTAACTCACTATCTCCTACACTTAACTCACTATCTACTACACTTAACTCAACATCTCCTACACTTCACACACTTTCTCCTACACTTAACTCACTATCTCCTACACTTAGCTCAACATCTCCTACACTTAACTCAACATCTCCTACACCTATCATAGTGTCATGCTATGAAATAAGAAATACATTTGGCATGATTTGATTGTTTTCAGAAAAGGATGCAGACCCTTTAAAAGTGATCAAGGTAGCATCGTTCTTGATCCAGAAGAAGTTTGGCCTAACAGAAACAACGATGCAGATCGAAGAGTATACAACAGACATGCTGATGTGTTTACACTGCCAACACTTGAAGGATTAGACTGTTTGTTGTCACATCATTGTCATTGCTTGTTTACTGTCTTGAAACATTGCCAGGGTGGATGGGAACAAAGTTTCTCTGAGATACCAGAGTTTTGGGGCAGAGGAATCACAGGGCAGACTCTACTTCTTGGACTATTTAGGGTAACTTGGAGATACCAGGGTTTGGGGTTGCCAGGGCCGACACAGGTGCATCCTAGACGTAAGGGTAACTTGGAGATACCAGGGTTCGGGGTAGAAGGTTGACATAGCGCTCACTAGTACATCCTAGTCGTAAGGGTAACATTGAGATTAATGGAAAATATTTTCGGTATACAAGTCTCAGTGTGTGGATGTATATGCGGATGCTCTAGTCATGTGATCGTCCTGTTGAGGTGAGCTAAATATTTCTATCTTAAATTATATTTGACTTTGAGTTATTATTGTTCTTTATTAGTTATGGAACCTATAATTTGGTCAGTAATCAATGTTAAGTATAAAGGAATAACATTTTACAAAGCTACCGACCTAGTTCTGAAATACCAAGCAAACAGTGGGCATGAGTAGAATGCAGGGGACAATGCATTATTCAAGATAGTGATACACAGTCCACCAATCCATGCTAGGATGAATGAAAAGTTTGTTTGTCATGATGAGAGAACAATCTCATTAAAATCAGATCTTAGTTTTCGCTACCGCTAAACAAAGATCTGAGGACATCCCATTACGGGTCACGTCAGAACGACCTTTCGCGAATTTTGACCGACTAATGAAATGACTGACAAGAAATCGACATTGGCCAATCAGAAGGCAGCTTTCTCGAGCTTTACGACACTAGTTTCAAACTGGCAACTACGCTTCGAAACATATTTTGACGTATTCTCGATTAAAGATTTTAAAACTGATAAGAACATTCTGGAATGGCTTATAGATGGCACAGATTGTGTGGATATAATCATAAAACCTGTAACTGTTGTTCGGAATACCCCGTGTTAAATATATCGTGGTTGCATGATTAGAAAACACATTCCGACTGTCACTTTCATGATCTGGTAAGCGACGCTCTGATTGGTTGGATGAAAGGTCGTTCTGACGTGACCCCTAATGGGATGTCCTCAGATCTTTGTTTAGCGATAGCGAGAACTAAGATCTGATTTTAATGAGATTGGATCAGAGAATGAATGATTTCCGTGATGCACAAATATGGTTTAAAGTATTATTCATGTTATTTAAAATGTTTCTTTGATGCCATAAACTCATGTGGTGTATGTACATTACTCAGTAGGTAGTGGATGAAATAAGGTGCTTGCTAGATATGTGCAATGAATATGAAACTTGGGCCTGACCTAAGGCATTGGTTCATTCCAGAAGGTGTCATCTTGACGTGTTTATCACAGGCGTACTTACAGTTGCTTCCCAGGATCATGGTTTTGAATGCCCTGATGTTGATCCTGGGTTTTTAGCATCTGTAACTTCGCCTCTCATCCCACCTAAATCTGACATGCAGTGACATGGATGATATCCTGATTAAAGAGGTTTGAAACCAAGTCACTCACTCGCTCTCAGCTTCAACTGGTGCAATCCATGAAATTGTCCTTGTACATAGGAATGTTGATGTTTTCCCTTATCATTACCATATATCACACATTGCCTTACATACCTAAACTGCCTTGTACCTTATGATGTAGGCCCGTGAAGACGCCGGGGTAGAATAGGTCTTCAGCAACCCATACTTGCCGCTAAAGGTAACTATGCTTGTCGTAAAAGGCAACTAACGGTAACGGGTGGTCAGACTCGCTGACTTGGTTGATACATGTCATCGATCCCAATTGAGTGGATCGATGCTCATGATATTAATCATTGGATTGTCTGGTCCAGACTCGATTATTTACAGACCGCCGTCATATAGCTGGAATATTGCTGAGTGCGGCATTAAACAACAAACCAACCAACCAACCTTATGATGTAAAATACTCTTGTCTGTGGAAGCAATAAGGTGCTGGTTTAAAGTTAACTTACTTTCTATGATATTTTGTATGTACACAAACGACATGAACATATTATCAGCAATGTGGTTAAATATGGCTGAAAAGAAATGGTTCTCAGGCAATGTTTTTTGAGAATATTGTGCAGGCGGTCGGAGTCTGGAGTTTTTTGGAGGGGGGGTATGTTGTTCATTAACCAAATTACAGTGTAACCAAATAAACTATGTACAATCAACCTGGTAAAGGGCCTCCCTACATAAATGTATTCCTTGATGAGTAAAATACTGGAATTCAGTATCTGACTACCATTGGACTTGGAATATTTAAGGATTTGGGTTTCACTTTTTTTAAAAAATGGAAATAAAAACAAAACATGCTGCGAACTTTATGGTGATTTGGGCAGTGCCTGAGAACCAAGACTATTATTTTTTTAGCCTTACACTTACACATTGGCATATTGGGTATATGCTATTTAGTAAAGTTCAGGAATATTCGGATCCAACATCCAAGGGTATTCCAGCTTCATGATGGCGGTCTGTAAATAATCGTGTCTGGACCAGACATCCAGTGATTGACACCATGGACTAGCTTTTGGTCTGATGTCGGCTCCTGAACTAGTCAGCAAGTTGTTCCACTTAGGCATTGCTTTGTTTGTTTTCTTGTTAACTCACAGGGTATATTTTCAACTTAATAACTGTGAATAGCATACAATGTCACATCTGTGTAAAGTCTCAGGCCATTTGACGCTGTTGCAATGTTAATGCTGTATTTATGCCTGAACACCTTTAAAGGCCATTTATGTTGAGTTATTTGCATAAAGACATGTTAAGCCTTATGATTTATTAGTTGGTTTATGAGACTGATTGGAAAAGAAATATTAGGGGAAAAAAATACTTTTGACCCCAAAACATTTGACATGCTCTGTTTTATAAGTAGGTGGAATGAAAAAAACGCTAGATCTTATCAACGCTTTTCATAAAAAAAATAGTTTATAATACATAAAAAAAATCAATTATTTTGCAGGATCGTTTCCACTCGTTTTTCTGTGATGGTATGACCTATGAGCTTTTTTTTTCATTTATTAATAGCAGCACTAATCTGAAAGCTTGGAAGGAATGGTGTGGGTTTTTTCTCACAATCTACATCAAATTTTAGTCAAAACATTAAACCAACTAATAAAAAATAAAAGGCCTCACAAGGGTTTGTTTTATTTCTATTTTGCCAATTCTTTATTTATTGCATGTTGCTTTGTAAAGCATATTATGTTTCTTTCCACAAATGCTTTGAAATATTGATGAGAATGAAGTACTGATATAAAATAATCTGCAACATCTTAACCACATTGCTATATTTAATTGAGTGAGTATGGTTTCACGCCGTTTTTAAGCAATTTTTTAGCAATATCACAGCAATATCACAGCTGGGGACACCAGAAATGGGCTTCATACTTTGTGCCCATGTGGGGAATCGAACCACTGCCCCTATGTTTAATTGAACAGATTCTGATATAGATATGTCCATCAGTGATCAAAACAATATATTCCTGTCATATTCAAAAGGTAATATGCCAGGACACAAATTAATCTGTATAAATTATATAACAAGCATTGAGTAGCTATAGGTTGGACATCTTGGAAAAAGGTTATTTTTTCTAACTGCATCTGAATATCTGCTCATTTCCTTGGCTTGGTCAGTTTAGCAGGAATGAAAATGTTTAGATTGTTACGATTTCGTACAGTGGATGTTTTTCATTTCCTGTTCATTAAAGGTTTCTGTGGCCAAAGACCCAACTATGAATTATGTTTAGCTTAAATGATTGTCCGTTCAGGCACTATAACAATTTGTTTTATACAACACTGGCACTTAGATGCAAATTCATGACACCTGTCCCACATGTTCAGGCGCCTACACATAAACTGACGCTTGTCAGACAGAGACATCGTGTGTGGCACAACATATGATACAGAGGATGGTAACAGTCACTGCTAGAAGCTGATAATGTGAACAGTCCATGTTAGTTTCCATGACAGCAAGGTTATCACAAGTCCCCCCTCCGCATAGCATCCTGGTATGAACTTCCATGTTTCTGCTCAGGGGCCATTTTGATCATATCATCAATACGAAGGATTGTGATGGCGGCCTCTGTGGCAAACTTCAGTGATTTGATCTATGACATTCCTGGCTCAAGAACTCCAGCTTTCTTGTTGTCCCGAACAATGCCCTCTATCAGATCTAAGCCAAGAAAAGGAAGTGTTTAGTTTTATTACCTGCACCAAAAATTACAGATACATAATCGAGTCTGAAACAGAAAATCCATTGACTTGACATAAAGAGTAATGATCAATGCTGTCTGGGTATACAATCAACCAAGTCTGACCCATTTCAGACGCCTCTTACGACCAGCATATTTTGCCAAGGACCTATTCTTGTCCCTACGGGGCGTCTGACCTTTCCTTGGCTTGGTCAGTTTAGCAGGAACAAAAATGATGTTGTTTAGATTGTTACGATTTCGTACAGTGGATGTTTTTCATTTCCTGTTCATTAAAGGTTTCTGTGGCCAAAGACCCAACTATGAATTCATGAATTATGTTTTAGCTTAAATGATTGTCCGTTCAGGCACTATAACAATTTGTTTTATACAACACTGGCAGACGCAGTCCCAACTGATAAATGCAAATATTCCTTCTTGAGTGCAATAATATATTTATGTGCAATACAAGACGTCACATGCATTTACTCATAGCACATCATAAAGGACCCATTGATTCCAGCATCACATGAATGTTGTACAGTGATGTGGACTAGTGGACAGGGTCTCTCTGGCCCTTACCCGATTGTCGGCTCTCGCGATATACATGTACTTGAAATGTGGCTCACAGTGGCTCAGAACACTCGCTCTTTCTGTGCAGAGTTACCTCCCTTGGATGCCATGATCTGCTAGTTGTGGGTCTGAACATCCCCAGTAATCAGATTAGTTTAGTTAGCACCACGCTCAACACATGAAGATCTGGGTTAGAATAGGTCTTCAGTTACCCATGCTTGCCGTAACAGGCGACTAATGGTATGAGGTGGTCAAGGTCATCATATCCCAATTGCGTGGATCGCTGCTCATGATGTCAATTACTGGATTGTCTGTTTCAGACTTGATTATTTACAGACAGCCATCATATAGCTGCAAAATTGCACAGTGCGAAGATAAACAAAGAAACAAACTGCATGTGCACGAGTTTCCAATATTTAGCCGACACACTGCAATACAACTGAAATACTGTTCAAAGCATTAGAACCATATGTACTCTTTATCAAGTCTCTGTAAAACATTCATTGTCATGGTTGTAAACTAATCATACTTATAAAGAATGCAAATAAAATTAATTACATTTATATCCTATTTTTATTTCTAACTACATATGTACTTTCCATCTTCATGTCGTTTCATAAGGATTGCGCCCCTTGGAAATTCTGGGTGAGAAGTTAGGTACCCAAGCAGCCCATGGTTGTCATAAGAGGCAATTAAACGGATCAGGTGATCACTCAATAAGATGTCATCATATCCCAATTCCGTGGATCGATGCTCATGACATCCATCACTGGATTGCCTGACTTGATTACTTACAGGCTGCTGTCAGTTGGTGTATTGCCGAGTTTGGCATTAATCATAAGAACTGTCTTCTGTCCGTGTGTGTGTGTATATATATATGCCATACCTCTAATTTCTGTGATATTTTGAATAGCAAATTCACCATATTTACTTATGTCCTTTGTAAATAAAACAATAACAAGTGCAATAGCTTTGTTTGTAGTATGTACAATGGTGTCATAATATACACCTTGAAAAATTAAGCAATGTCAACTATATATATACTGATGAAAAGGAATACTGAGTTTTAGACACCATTAGTGACATGTTATAAGTTTTGAGCCATCATATTAGGGTAGGAAACAATGCACAAAACAAATTCCAAACGACCAACATACAAATGGTAAGTGTGAATTAGTCCATTCAAAGACAAGGGTGAACCACAGACCAGTATGACAGTGGGATGGAAATGGCAATCAATCCGAAAGATCGGGGTGGGATGCCAAACAGACACATGCAGAAGGGAAAGGTGACTGTCTGTGGAACCTGTATCGTCAGATAGGAGATGTGAAGAGCAGGCCTGGTCAGGGCAGACGTCTCAAAACAAGTAAGCCTGATGACAGATTCTGCTAATCGCATTGAGGGACAGTCCGTGAATAAACAGGAAGCAAACGCTTAAAAGCTGTTGGCTTAAAGTCATATCGACCAATGGTTGGAGTAAAGATGACGAGAGCTCCAGTCCCACTTCAATCTAGACTTCAGATATGGTCGGATCTCTGTATGGAAACAACTTCACGAAAGACATCATCCATTAAATGTGAGGCAACATGACCAGTATGATGGTTTCATCAAAAATTGCCTGGGCCGGGTTAATGTATGATCGCAGAATGGAGGTTCTACTTATAGTTGACCGACATGTGTTCACTACCATGATGAGGTTGACTATTCCAGCGTTGAGTCGGAGAAACTTTGACTTTCACCAGGACAAAGCTTATATAAGACAAAAAGTGATGTGTCATTTGTGCTTGCATGTGTGTGTCTCCTTGTACTAGTACGGACTAATGCCAGTTTTTTTAGTGATACCCCACCGAGACAGGATTTGAAATTGTCTTCAGTCCGCTATTCTGAGACTAGTTAAATTCTGGAAGGACTAGTGACATTTCCTTGCGGACTTCCAGTTCTACCACCAGTTAAAGGGTAACTCTGTAACTGATCATTTCTATAGACGGATGAAAAAAAATAATTTCTAACCATGCAATAAGGTAACACTGCATAATCTTTCACAAAAGTTATTTCCACTGAGTTTAACATCACCTTGCTTTTTCACCATCCACTATCAAAATTAGAAATTACCTAAAACACATTTCTGAAATCACGAATACACATTGTTAACCAAAGATCAACACATCAGAGATAGCACTTTTTATTTTGAAATGTTTTATATAGGAATTCTTCACACAGTCGGTGGTGATAAATTAAATAATGAAGCACTTAGATGCAAATTCATGACACCTGTCCCACATGCTCAGGCGCCTACACATAAACTGACGCTTGTCAGACAGAGACATCGTGTGTGGCACAACATATGATACAGAGGATGGTAACAGTCACTGCTAGAAGCTGATAATGTAAACAGTCCATGTTAGTTTCCATGACAGCAAGGTTATCACAAGTCCCCCCTCCGCATAGCATCCTGGTATGAACTTCCATGTTTCTGCTCAGGGGCCATTTTGATCATATCATCAATACGAAGGATTGTGATGGCGGCCTCTGTGGCAAACTTCAGTGATTTGATCTTTGACATTCCTGGCTCAAGAACTCCAGCTTTCTTGTTGTCCCGAACAATGCCCTCTATCAGATCTAAGCCAATCCTGCAAGAAAAGGAAGAGTTTAGTTTTATTACCTGCACCAAAAATTACAGATACATAATCGAGTCTGAAACAGAAAATCCATTGACTTGACATAAAGAGTAATGATCAATGCTGTCTGGGTATACAATCAACCAAGTCTGACCCATTTCAGACGCCTCTTACGATCAGCATATTTTGCCAAGGACCTATTCTTGTCCCTACGGGGCGTCTGACCGGGATAGCAAAACAGGGCTGGCTACCAATCAACAGAGCCAATATCGTCTACGTTCACTACATCCTTACGTTCTTTACCTCACCAACACCACAGAGGTGATGAAATACACTTATAAGTAGTCAATATGCTGCCCTTGAACCTGTTAAACCTGAATAATCCCAATCAAACCTGTACCCACCACTTGAGATCGCTGTGTTCGGCCTTGGTCTGGGAGGTGTTGTGATAGGCCCTTAGTTTGGCCACCAGATCAGTGGAGTCTTGTGCTGCGTTCACTGACAACTGCTTGGGGATGACGAGTAGGGACTTGGCAAACTCTGCTATAGCCAGCTGCTCTCTTGACGACTAGAAAACATCATGAGTATTCAAACACAAGACTAAGTCAATGTCAATAGGAGTCAAAGACTTGGTCTATTGGCAGTCTTCAATTCAAAGGTGTAAACAACTATTGTTTGTTGCATAAGGGACCACTAAGTGGTATTCCAGTTATATGACGACAGTCTGTAAATTATCGAGTCTGGGCCAGCGATCCAGTGATTGACATCATGAGCATCGATCCATTCAATTGGGATATGATGACATGCATCAGCCAAGTCAACAAGCCTGAGTACCCAAACCTGTTAGTCGCCTCTTATGACAAGCATCTTACGACACCTTTTTACGGCAAGCATGGGTTCTACCCATCTTCATGGGTCATAGATCTACAAATCTGGAATACAATGACATGCATGAACCAAGTCAGTGGGCCTGACCACCTGATCCTGTTAGCCGCCTCTTATGACAAGCATGGGTTGGCTACTTGCTGCAGACCAATTCTAACCCAGATCTTAACGGGGGCATCAGCTTTCTGTAACATGAGGTGAAGTGGTCCAAGATTATTGCACTTATATAGCGATGTGCATTAACACGTGTATGTGTGGCTGCTTGTGCTAGTCCCTACTAATGCCCATTCTATAGTGCTAGCCCAATGAGATACCATGGCTCAGTTTAACATAAATACCCCACTCCGACACAGAGTCCAAGCCGACCAGTCCTTGTTTTAGCCCTTTAATGTCGAGCACCGGGCAGGGTAACACCAAGTACCATCTTTTAATGTACGGATGCAGTGTTTTTATTTAACATGGCATGTACCACATCAATATCTCACTAGAGTGACACACATTGTATCATGAATGTGTGTACCATCCTAGCACTAGCAAAAGCCTCGATAAAAGTATCATATTTACCAGTGAGGTGGCAAAGTTCTCCAGGTATATGGATAGGGCAGCCTCAACGGCGCCACCTCCAACAACGACGGTCTTGGACTCCAAAACCCGCCGGACGACACAAAGGGCATCATGAACAGATCGCTCCATCTCATCACACATGAAGTCATTGGCTCCTCGAAGGATGATTGATGCAGCAGTACGAGCTTTGGTCCTTCAATCAAAATAGTCCATTGTTTTAGATTTCTATAAAACATTTTTGTACAGGCCAGCATGTTATATGCTGCTATTATTATTAAATAGATGAGTGCTTGGGGTTTTTCTCAATGTTTTGAGCAGCGTTTTGAAATTTTCAGTTTTATCACAGTGTCAGTTTGATGTGGGGACAAATCCTCAATTGATGCAGTGAGTGAGTGAGTGAGTGAGTGAGTGAGTGAGTGAGTGAGTGAGTGAGTGAGTGAGTGAGTGAGTGAGTGAGTGAGTGGGCAGACGGGGGGGCTTACGGGCGAGAAAGGTTTATGCGGCTTTTAGTAATATTCAAGCAATATTAAGGCGTGCGGGGGACAGCAGAAATTGGTATCACACATTGTACCTATGTCAAGAATGGAACCCGGGTCTTCGGCGTGACGAGCGAACATTTTAACCACTAGGCTTCCTGACAGCCCCTGCACTTTGGTGAAACATTACGGGTATGGTGATGATAAACCATGAAGTAACCAGGGCATTTTGGGGATTAAAACCTCGGGAGGCAACTAACAGCAGCGTTTGCAGCACCTCAGATGACTGGGACATCTGATGCATGACAGGTGCAGACTCTCAAACATCAACCATCACAGGTCTTCAAGAGTAAGTGAAAGTTGTTTTATGCCACAATCAGCTGTATCCAAATTGCCTGTGAAAATCCACGTACCGGCCCGGGAGACCAGTGGTTGTTAGCATCAACAGTGTCCATCACCCAGGTCACTCACTGTAGACCCTCAATTCTCAACCTCTGGTTTTAAACCGGTAAAAGTAGCCCTGGACTGGTAATTCACTCGCGTGTCAGTCCCTGTAAAGTACCTATAAATCTTTGCTGTTGAACAAATGTTCAAAATAATGTTGAAATATTGAAACTAGGTAAATTTTTTCATGTCTTCAAATTTGCGACTGACAAAAATTGGAGGGGACAGGTAATTTTTAGAGTTGTCAGTCCGACGGGAATGGCCGTTTCAAAAGCCAGCGAGAACACTGGATCTATTATGCCCTGGAATACTCAACCATTCAAAAGAAGGTAATGTTTGATTAAAAAATATTTCATGGTGCGTGTCTGTGCGTGTGAGTAGGTGTGAGGTGTGAGTGTTAGCTCGCGTGTGCATCTGCTCAGCAAACACATATCAATAACTAGAAAGTGTTTTTACTCGTAAAAACATATGTCTCCCGCCACTCCCCTAACCCCCATTCATTCGTTTACTTCACGTTAAACCCCATCTGTTCATTCCCACAAAAATAATTCACAATATTTTAATTCTAGAATTGCTTTGAATTCAATAATAATTGAAAAGATCAAATTCTTAAATTTCATTATAAGCAAAAGACACAGATATATTGAAGGGGTGTTGAGTTTAGTTCTGGAACAAAGCCCATCCCAATACAGAGTCTAAGTTAAACTTGTCTCCATAAACAAGAAAAAATAAAATGTGAAAAACTTCTAAATAGCAAGAAGCACAACTTCAGGACTTGGTTAATATGTTACAACTTCATGAAAAAATATTGAACAGTTTTTGAGTTATGGTCCGGAAACAAAGCTTACCCCCATTCAGAGTCTATGTTCAAGTTATCTCCATGGAAACGAGAAAAAATAAAAATGTCAAAAATCTCTAAATAGCAAAAGGCACCACTTCAGTGCTGGGTTAATGTGTATACAAAGTTTCGCGAAAAAATATTAAACGGTTTCTGAGTTATGGTCCGGAAACCAAGCTTACCCCCATTCAGAGTCTATGTTGAAGTTATCTCCATGGAAACGAGAAAAAATAAAAATGTCAAAAATCTCTAAATAGCAAAAGGCACCACTTCAGTGCTGGGTTAATGTGTATACAAAGTTTCGCGAAAAAATATTAAACGGTTTCTGAGTTATGGTCCGGAAACGGTGGGAACGCCGACGCCGACGGGAACCGTGCCAAAAACAATATGTCTCCCTCCATTCTGGGGGAGACATAATAATAACAGTCATCTACCATTCTTCAATTCAAATGGTTACGGTAAAAGTGAAGTGAGCACATGGTGGGAAATAGCAAACCTTACCCTCTGATAATAATAAGCTCATCATCACAGATCCTCTCAGTGACCACCTCTTCAGCCTGTCCCAGCATTGATGGCTCGAACGACTCCTCTCCGTCCAGATTAGCTAGTGTCATCAGGAATGTAGCTGGAATGTACAGTAATCATTATACAGACATAGGACAGAAATGTCAGTTGTCAGTGTCACAGCATTGTAGTTCCATGTGGCAGGACAGAGGGGCTCTCAGTCATACATTAGTGAGTGAGTGAGTGAGTATGGTTTTACGCCGCTTTTAGCAATATTCCAGCAATATCACGACGGGGGACACCAGAAATGGGCTTCACACATTGTACCCATGTCAGGAATCGAACCCGGGTCTTCGGCGTGACGAGCAAACGCTTTAACCACTAGGCTAGCCGACCGCCCCCATACATTAGTAGGCATGGGCAAAGTTTAAACAAGAAACACTGAGCAGTCTTCAAGTGATGCTCCAGAAACAAACACTAACTTCATTTAACTTCACTTTTAGTCGAATTTGTTGTCAAGGAACCAAGAAAAAAATCTTAAATACCCAACAGGCATAGGCACCAGTTCGTGGGCAGACCAACATCTGTGTAGAGTTTGATAATGAAATAAGTCTGTCAGTAAGGCACCAGAAACAAAAGGTGACGGACGGAGAGTACCAATTCAAATACACCCCCCTCATACTTTGAGGCTGGGGTATAATAACCTTTGCATAGTAACAATTGGTAACCACAAAAACAGAAAAAAAGCAGGTGGTGGTGGTCAAATTAACAATATCCTCCCTAGACCCACCTCCAGTAGCTCTTGCTATCCTCTTGAGGTCAGCCTTCTTACACCGCCTGACCGCCATCGCACCAGCCTCCACGAAGTACTTGAGACACAAGTCATCGATGCCACCTGTTGTCAGAATCACATTGGCACCAGCATTGATGATCTTTTGGATCTTCTCCTTGGTGATGTCAGATTCTCTGTTGCCATGGAAACAAGAATCTATGGTGAACAGAGATGCCAACCCTAATTGTTTCTTTGTTGTTTACCGCCGCACTCAGCAATATCCTAGTGAGGTGACGGCAGTCATAATCGAGTCTGGACCAGTGATTGACATCATGAGCATCGATCCACACAATTAGGATACGATGTCATGCATCAACCAAGTCACCAAGCCTGACCACCCAATCCCATTACCGTATTTTCTTGAGTATAGTGCACACCCATGTATAATGCGCACCCCCCTCTAGCGGGTTCAATATTTTGGAAAAAAAAAAATTAAATATTATGCGCAGAAATTTTTTACACCGTACCCTCTCAGCGAAGTCCGGCAAACGAGCGGGTGCTGAGAAACTTTGTCAGTACAAATTCGAAATTTGAGATAAAAAATCACCAGACATGTTTATTTGCCGTTAAAATAGTATTTATTGTTCTGCTAGGCATTGTTTTATATCTAGGGATTAAGATTACCTTGTGTATTATCTCGTAAACTAAGCCGGAAACAGCAATCAGCTGTACACACGTTTTCTTGGAATCGACCGGTGATTCGGTCAAGACACACCCAATGATATAACTTTATAGGATTTTTAATGCAAGGATCGGCAACAATTGTATCTGAAACTATTTTTTTTTTATTTTCTTGATTATATGCAGCCTTTACTAAACATATTTAAAATAATAATAACCCTAAGCGAAGCAGCTGACGCTATTCCCGGGTATTATTTTTTACATGGAACCAGTCTGACCAGTCACCGTCAAGGCTCACGCGCACGTGATCGCGAGAATTTCATGTTGACATAGAAACGTCAAACAAAAACAAATATGACTTAACGAGTCAAAGTATGTCATTTATGATATATGTATCCATTCTCTGTCAACTAAAGTTCGTTTCAAGGCGTCAATAGCGGTATTCTGACCATGGTTGCTGTTAATAACGGTGAGTTGTGCAATCTTCCGATCGCTTCACACACGATTCGCCGAAATTAATAAAAACAATATTATAAGGAATTAAGTCCAGATATACAAAGAACACTTTTTATAGCCACACAGTGTAATTACATGATTATTTTGCGTACTTCAGTAAGGATTTGTTGACATGGTATTTCCGGTGTTTCGTGCTCACGGTAATGTCTTTCCATTTGGGGAAAAAACATCCAAACTCATAATTCGTGTATAATGCGCACCCCCTTCTACACAGCTGTGTTTTTTCGAAAAAAAGTGCGCACTATACTCAAGAAAATACGGTAGTAGCTTCTTACGACAAGTGAAGTCGCCTTTTACGACAAGCACGGGTTGCTGAAAACTTAGTCTACCCCGGATCTTCCCAACCCTAATTGAAGCTCTTGAGTAATCAGTGGGGTAATACATATCTATATGTGAAGCATGGGTACACAATACCATGGTTACTGTCTGTATATGTCTGTAAATATATCGCAGCAAACACCTCTTCAAAGTGACAGAAATATGTTAGGTGTTTTTTTGTACTCTGAACTACATATTGGTTTACCAGAGCTCCAGATAAGCTATTGGTGTTGTGGGTATTTTACCCATGCATTTTAAAATCATTGGGTATCAGTAATTCTATCTGGGTATTCAAATTTCTGTTACCCACTAGTTTTTACATGTGGGTATTTTAGTAAAATATTTAAAAACACTATTCATCTAGTCCCTGCAAACTGGTGTCGCGTGGGTTTGAGAGCTTTATAGGACTAAAAAATACCACGATACTTCCACAAGTGTGATGGCAAATGATCATGATGTAACTGTCATTGTGGAGTTTGGCAAGGTTGACGGAATGCCTGTTTATAATTTCAAAATAAGTTGCTGATTTGCTAATCAAATATGCAGGGTTACAATATTTTGATGATACGCACAAGTTTTATTTGATACGCTTGGATTTTATCATATCTGCATTTCTGATGCGTATTTTACGCAGATACGCAGCTTATCTGGAGCTCTGTTTACATAATCAAAGATAAGGTGACGGGAGTGATGGCTGCAAGCTCACCTTTGTCGGATACCATCTAGCTTGGTAGGATCTTCTACAAGCACCTGTACACCTAGATGCATCTTAGCTTTCTGAAGACTGAAGTCCAGACAAGCAATCTTGGCACCAACTACCTTCTTCTTCATGGCTGAAAAGAACACATATCAATTGCACGTCGTAAATTATAAATCCACAAAACTGTCATGATACAAACATCTTGAAAATATAAAACACTTTTAAATTTGTTTAATGTTGCATTCAGCAATGGTCCAGATTAATGATGACGGCCTGTAAACAATCAAATTTGGACCAGAAAAAACAGTGATTGATGATATTACTAACATTCCATGCCGTCATGAGCATCAATCCAGGCAACTGGGTTTCGATGAAATACATCAACCAAGTCAGCTAGCCTGACCACCTAATTCCATCAGGTGCCTTTTACAACAAGCATAGTCTCCTGTTACGACAAGTATGGGTTGCAGAAGGCCTATTCTCTACACGGATCTTCATAGGGCTAATGAATCAGTGACTAATTTGAGCATAAAGCTGCTTAAAACAATATTTAAGATATATAATTCTATGATAATGGCAGCATTGTAACCTTAACATTGAAGAAAAGACAGGTCTGACACAACACATACAGATGTTAACCATTTTGGTGAAACTCACTATCTTTGGTCACTCAAGATAAGGAGGAGAATTAAGGATTCAAACCCACAATCAGCATGATCAGCAGACAAACGATTCATCAAAATCATCAAACTGCCCAATAATTAACAGATAAAGTTGTGCACACTGTCCCGATGACCCACCTTGAGATGCAACTGAGCAGTTGAGGGCATATCCATTGATGAGAAGGGACTCCTTGCTGCTCTTGCCGTGAGCCTTGAGAACATTAATTGCCTTTATTGGATATCTATAGCCTCCCTTGCCATCAGGAGTCTTTATCAGGTAGCCTGCATCCACACACATGTTGGCAAAAAAATCAGATTGACTGGACAGGCTAAGGAAACAGAATTATTTGTAACTCATTCAAATACAAATATTTTTACAGTTGGTTGGTTGGTTGTTTAACGCCACACTCAGCAATATTCCAGATATATGACGGCGGTCTGTAAATAATCGAGTCTGGACCAGACAATCAGTGATTGATATCATGAGCATCGATCCAATTGGGATCGATGACATGTATCAACCAAGTCAGCGAGCCTGACCACCCGATCCCGTTAGTCGCCTTTTACGACAAGCATATTTTCCTTTTACGGCAAGCATGGGTTGCTAAAGACCTATTCTACACACAGGTGTCAACACGTCATGAGGACAAACAATGTGAACATTTACAGTAAGTCAAGTCACTGAACAATAAACAGTATGGAAGGATACGCTCCAATGATCTTGCTGGACATGCTTGTCTTGGCAGCGTTGACAATGCAGTCCCGCCCAAGCTCGTCCACATTGATGGTCAGGTTCTCCTGGATGTACTTGACAGCCTCTCTGGAGACAAAGAAGCAGCACTGTCAAGCTGTTCAGCACATCAAACCATCAGCACTGTCAAGCTGTTCAGCACATCAAACCATCAGCACTGTCAAGCTGTTCAGCACATCAAACCATCAACACTGTCAAGCTGTTCAGCACATCAAACAATCAACACTGTCAAGCTGTTCAGCACATCAAACCATCAGGACTGTCAAGCTGTTCAGCACATCAAACCATCAGCACTGTCAAGCTGTTCAGCACATCATACATCAGCACTGTCAAGCTGTTCAGCACATCAAACCATCAGCACTGTCAAGCTGTTCAGCACATCAAACCATCAGCAATGTCAAGCTGTTCAGCACATCAAACAATCAGCACTGTCAAGCTGTTCAGCACATCAAACAATCAGCACTGTCAAACTGTTCAGCACATCAAACCATCAGCACTGTCGAGCTGTTCAGCACATCATACATCAGCACTGTCATGCTGTTCAGCATATCAAACAATCAGCACTGTCAAGCTGTTCAGCATATCAAACAATCAGCAATGTCAAGCTGTTCAGCACATAATACATCAGCACTGTCAAGCTGTTCAGCACATCAAACCATCAGCACTGTTGAGCTGTTCAGCAGATCATACATCAGCACTGTCAAGCTGTTCAGCACATCAAACCATCAGCACTGTCAAGCTGTTCAACACTGCAAACGATCCCTACTGTTAAGCTGTTAGCTTACAAACTGTCCATACTATCAATCTGTTCAGCCTAGCAAACTGCTCATACTATCAAGCTATTCAGTCTTACAGTAAGGACAACAGTATAGTAGCATGCACTCACTTGCAGGCCAGTCTGTAGCCACTGATGATGGATGTGGGGTGAATCTTACACTTGACAAGCTCATCTGCATTCTTCAGGAGCTCTGCAGCAATAATTACCTAGAACACAAACGAGAGATCTAATAACAAACATCACAAACATTTAGACCGAATCAGGACATGAACATATATCATAATCTGATACTACTGCAATGTTTGAAGTTAAGCATCAAAGTTCAGGGGTTCTTATGGACATTTGCATTACCCAAACAATGCAGAGCGTGCCTAATGTTACACACACACTGTAATTCTGGAGCCTGGGCCAACAAAACCAGTGGCTGAAGCCATGAGCAACAACTCATACCATAAGCGCGATCAGGGTCTGATGACACAATCTTCCATGTCACACTTTTACCCACCAGATGCCCATTAGTCGACAAGCATGAACATGTGAAGTATTGGGGTCCTGTTCTACTCTGAAATCTCCACTTATGAGATCTGTGCACAAGCTTCACACAGCAATATCCCCTTCACCAAGCTCTCTATGCTATCAGTGCCATCAGTCACAGTTTACCACTGTGCAAGGTGGCCTATCCATAGAATTGAACACGCAGCCACCTGATCTTTATGTTTACAAACAGAGATGGTTGTTGTGGCGCGGAATACGCTTCCAGAAATGTGCATCCAGTATGCACAAATGTATAGAATGAACGCAGAAATATATATATATATTGTGTCTCGATACATGCACAATATTCATGTACCAAATTCTTGACAAGAAATATAAAGCTCCTGTAATTAAAGTGACTATTATATCTTACAGTACAGTACACTACACCATTTCATAACTTTACCCTAATATTTCCAAAAGACCCCTTGTAATTAGTAATTGGTGGTCCTCCGGACCAATAATTTTGTGGGTTTGGGTAAAACCCTGCTCCTCCCCAAACTAAATTGTTGGTTTTTTGGACAATTTGAATTTCTATTTCATTTCAACTATCATGTAATTAGTGCAGTGTGTATGCAAGGGAGAAGTTTGGTGCTTTTCCGTTAGTCTGCAATCTCGGCCCCATGTGATAATACAAACAAACGTAAATTCATTTAGGAAATGGTAAATTAGTCGTAAACTTTTTCCCAATTCTAACATATTCCAAAAGACATGCACAAAGACATAAACATGATAAATGTCACTACATTAAATTTTGGGGTTAGAGAGAAAAAAATTCAAGACTCTTGTAATGGTCACTTGCACACAAGTGGCAGCAATGACACCAGGAGGGTAATGAAGGGGCACACACTGGGAAGGAGCTTGCACTGTGCAACTAAAGGGAAATAACTCACCACAGATGTTGTTCCATCACCGACTTCCTGGTCTTGGAGATCTGCCAACTCCACCAAGACTTTGGCTGCTGGGTGTTCAACCTCCAATAGCTTCAGAATAGTGGCACCATCGTTCGTGATTGTCACATCCTGAAAGAGAAGAGATTGACAAAATGCAATCATATGTTTTAGAACTGTTTCATCATGTACATGTACACTAAAACAACCATAACACGTACACTGCAAGCATGCCCATCAACACTCTGGAAAGCAGTTGCTGGGTCTTTGAGGGGTTAACAAACTTAATGTGGCAGTTCACTTAAGATCAAGAAGAGAATGTACTTTATGCTGATGACATGTGAAACACTGTTTGTTTAACACCACACTCAGCAATATTCCAGCTATATGACGGGTCTGTAAATAATCGAGTCTGGACCAGACAATCCAGTGATTGACATCATGAGCATCGATCCACGGAATTGGGATACAATGACATGCATCAACCAAGTCAGCAAGCCTGACCACTTGATCACATTAGTCACCTCTTACGACAAGCAAAGTCGCCTTTTACGGCAAGCATGGGATGCTGAAGACCTGTTCTACCCTGGATCTTCACGGTCTGTGAAACACTGAAATCAATTCATATGACGTAAGCTTGATTTTAATTTGCAAGCCCTATGGGCATGAAGGATTTCCATTTTTCTGTGATCATGATGGTTTGGTTGTGTTGTTTAATGCCAAACTCAGCATATTCCATCTTTATTATGGTGGTCTATAAATGATCAAGTCTGGACCTGATAAGGCAACAACTGGACAATTCCATGGTAACATTACTGTCAGCAAAAAATGCAATTATTTACAAAATTACAGAATGTCTTAAAGGTGCATGATTCATGTGATCAATACCCCTATCAATGTACCTTTACACAACAGCTATTTTTGTTGAAAGCTGATAGATCATGATCATGTAAAGAAATTTTGATTTCAGAATAAACAATTATAAACATACTTAAATAAATATCAGTAACGTAAACATAACGATAAACATGACAAATCATCAAAATAATACATGAATGAAATTATTGCAAAATGTGTGTGGCCTATGTTCACTTTAACCATGCTTAAAGAGTGGTTGTTATCACCTGGGCATGCTGGAGTAATTGTCAAGTGCGATTCACAGCCCTATGACAGAGACAATCATTATGCCATATGATATATAACAGCCTCCCTCCGTTGTGCCTTGATCCGCTGAGAGATGGTTTGAATCCCCGATTCTCCCCGATTGAAAAGTCCATTTGTAATGAGCCAGATTCCATTCAGCAAGTATGGCGCTACATGTGTTGTAGCAGATTATGCTACAGCAACGAAAAAGTCGTAGCTTGGGGCAAGAGGTGTTGGATTTCGACTGAACAGTACGACTTAAAAAGGTAGGTCTTTAGAATTGCCCTGAATGATGAGAGTGGTGGTGAGAGCTTAAGTTCTGTTGGTAGATTGTTCCAAAGTGTTGAAGCACTGTATTCGAAAGATCTATGACCAAAAAGTCTTCAAGCGGGTTTCTGGAACTTGCAGGTGTCTTGCAGAGATCTAGATGGCGTATATTTAAGCAAAAGTTCCATCAGAGACAGTGGAGCTGATTCATTGAAGCATTTGTAAGCTGTCAGTAGTTGAAATTCAATTCTAGCTTGAGGCAAACTTTTCCACATCCTCTTATAAAACTTTGTGACTGTGTGACTTCAACCAACGGTCAGTGGATCATGTTCAAGGCACAACTAACATGACCCAGGGCAGGGTTCACTTCAGGAATATTCCAGAGGTACACCCACACTTTCCCATACAGCACAGGTACACACACACTTTCCCATACAGAACAGGTACACCCACACTTTCCCATACAGCACAGGTACACCCACACTTGCCCATACAGCACAGGTACACCAACACTTGCCCATACAGCACAGGTACACCCACACTTGCCGATACAGCACAGGTACACCAACACTTGCCCATACAGCACAGGTACACCCACACTTGCCGATACAGCACAGGTACACCCACACTTGCCCATACAGCACAGGTACACCCACACTTGCCCATACAGCACAGGTACACCCACACTTGCCGATACAGCACAGGTACACTCACACTTTCCCATACAGCACAGGTACACCCACACTTGCCTGTACAGCACAATGCTAAAATGCCAACTTGTCTTTGAAAATGCGGGCCTTTTTTTCAAATTTTGGGGCTAAAAGCACAAGGCCCCACCCTAGACTTTTACCTGTCAGGGTTACTACTCTGAACATAGAATAGGTGGCACCATCACAGAGGACCAAAGGGAAAAGGAAAAAGTTGGCTGTGCTTACCCCAATATCATCTACCAACATCTTGTCAAGGCCCACTGGCCCCAAGCTGCTCTTGACAATGTTGGCAATGGAGCTGGCAGCCAGAACTGAAATGATAAAACAATTCAATAATGTATATGAGTCCTTATTCACTTTTATGCCCATTGAAGTGTTACATTGGAGTCAGTATTTAGATATTTATGAAAAGACAAGGTGGCGGCATTTTTGACAAGTTTAAACATTCTTTTTTTCATCTTTGGACATGGGAAGATAATATCTGGCTCAGTTTGTTTAATTTTGGCATGAAAACACTGATGGTACGCAGACATGTTGGGACGAACGAGGACAGACAAAACCTAAGTTTTTTTCATATAAATCTGTTTTAATTCATTTGCATTTCGGGTAGTGGGTACAACTTGCCACCCAAAATGGGATTAATACATGTGAATATATCAATGTCTTGAAACTCTTTCAAGGTTAAAAAAAAATCAAAAAGTGTTGGGACAAACGGAGACAGACATGATGCTTTAAAATAGCAATTTACAAGAAAAATTAAATGTTCCCTGAAGTATGGAATGAAACATTACAAGTACATTAAGATATAATCAAACAATTAAAGGTTAATTACAACTATTTAAGCAGCACAAGACAAATAAAAATCAGGGTTTTGTGTCGGGACGAACAAAGGACAGACATTTGTGATGTCGGGACGAACAAAGGACAGACATTTGTGATGTCAGGACGAACAAAGGACATACAAAGCAAAACAGGATAAAATACAGTCTGCAAACCACTTTTATTTCATATTCCAAATCATACTGTGTGACAAGTCACAAATTCTACAATGGTGATGACGATGTATCTCAAAATAATTTCTAACTGGTCTATAACCATGGAATATTTTTCAATATAAACAACCCAATAAGGCTGTCCCATCGCCGGAAAATAACAGCTGTTCATTATTTCTGAATTAAATCATATGCATATCAATAATATCTAATTTAGCATAAAAATTCATGAAGTATCATGCAATTATGTCTTCTTTACAACCAACTATAAATGTGTCTACTTTGTAAAAAAAAATGCTTGTGCCTCATGGTATGCCCGAAATATGTTCTAGAAGAAAATTCTTTTGTTTCTAGATATTATTTTGACATTAAGTTACTAATTAACACACCAGGGTAATTACATTGTAATGAAGTTGTAATATATAGTGATAACACATTCCATTACTGTATTAATACATAATTTCATTCCAAGTACAATTGTTTATCGGTAGACAAGATTCCCAACAGCCTGGAATGTGGTTTGGGGTTTTCCAGAAATTAATGTGGGCAGGGCAGGAAGATATTTTCTAAGACTCAGGGACCCCACACGCCCATCAAATTTTAAAACTATAATGCTGTATGCAAGTTGTATATTAAAAATAACAGATTGTGGAATCTTGATATCCCCACCACTCATTAAATATTTTTAAATGTACATCCCAGCCCTCTCAAACATTCATTTAGGAATAACCCTTTATAATTTATATATTCAGTAACTGTTTGACAATTATTCATTGTACTGAATATTTTACAAACCACTTCAAATTGTTGATGAATTCAAAGTATTATCGCAAGACTTAATCAGGAAAAAACTGCGACACAATAAATTATTCCTAGGCAAAGCTGTACAATTGCTGCTATTTTGTATCCACATGAAAAATCATTTTAGAAAAATTAATTTAATTTAATTTAACTTTGAAAGTCTTCCACTGTGCAATTAAACATTAGCTATCCTGTATCTTGAATATTGTTTATCTCAATGACCAATATCAGTTTTGCCATACTCCTTTTTATGTTTATTCAGAAACTGGTTATTGGTGTCCTCTTGGTTCTTGATCTCGTAGTCCATTCTAAAGGTGGACAGGGCGTTAGTCATCTCCTGTATCAACAAGATATATATAATTGCATCACCAATAAAATGTTAAAAATTGAAGAACATTAACATACAAGGCAAGGCAATTCATAGTCCCTCATCGAAAGATAATAAGTCAATAATATATAGGTAAGGTGACCTACTTTAGTATGCTACACTTCACTTTTGCAAGATACACTTGTGCAACACATGGTAAAGTTTGGTGAAAATCGGTCCATTCATAGTGAATCTAATTTGCTATTTTGTTATTATCTATGTGCAGATGAAGATTATTGTTGAAATTGTTGTACAGCTCCAATGCACAGCACATGCTAACATATCTAACCATAAAAACAGTGTTTTCGGGGACTGTCCCTTTAAACAACATTATATTCATGACCAAAAACTTGAATTCTTTCAGTACAACAGTCAGAAATATGATGCAATATTTTGAGTTAGATAAAGTTCTATTAAATGTCCTACCTCAAATAATGTCCAATCAATTGCTATTCTGACGTCTTCGAACATGACAGTGTGGTGGATGTCCTTTGCCAGCCATCTTTGTTTCACTTTAGTGAAAAAAGTCACCCATGGCCAATCATCCACCTGTTGAAATCAAAATTATAATATATAATATGTATTTGCCACTTCAACATGATTTCATAAGCAAGCTGCACAGTTTAATTTTATTGAAGGATTCACGAAAGCAGACTGAAGACAGAAGACTGAAAATGTAAATATTGCCCCATGAACAACCAGGTTAATTTTAGATGGGGCTGCCACAAACTCGGCCAACTTTTCATTTGAACCCAGACCCAAATTTCCTGTGGATTTTGAGTTCTAGACTTAACCACTTTGCCACAGTGGTTCTTATAAGCAAAATATAGACTGTATAACTGAATTTAATTGTGATCTAGGAAGTATCAAGACAAGTAATAATTGTAATTTACCATGCTTTTACCAAAGTGAAGCACATCCATATAGTAAATATAAATTTGAAGTTTTGTTTAATATCCAGGTGGTATTTTATTTTTAAGATTAATTTATTAAGCATAAATGAGATTTTGTAATGATATTGTGTATAATTACTTCCCTTTGGAGGATGTGAGTTTCCATTTTGTTAAAAACCAAAAGTATATTGTTGAGTCCAATGTGATCATACTGATAAACAGAGAAATGGACCCATCTATTAATCTACTACATATCGGACTATATATATTTCCCTTGTTGACTTGGAGTAACTCCATCTTGTTTTTATATTGGAAAACACAAAGTTAATTCTGAAGTTTGTTACCTGTCAACTTGTTCAGGATTCATCCGACCCCTATAATCAGCTTTTCGCTTTCGTTCCTGTTCGATGTAGTCTTGGTCACCTTTTTTCAGCTGCCTCCCATCGCCTACACCTCTCACCATTCTAATGAGACCAATAAGTACATTCATTAATTTACAATAAAGCAAAATGCACTGTCAATAAACATATAGATCTATATTTTATTCATAAACAAACTAGGACAACACTTATATTCTGTTACGCCAAGCTAAAAAAACTGAAAAGGGGAGGGGGGAGATATTTTGATTTTTTATGAAATGTTCCCAGGATTAAGGAATAGGGAATTTTTTTATCATTATTTTTTTAATTTAAACTAACTTTTATAAAGCTTGATGTAGACCTACACACTTAAAATCCTAATCTAGGAAACGCACAACTAATTTTGTTCGGCCCTACTTTGAAAAATGTCAGCATTCAAATTAAAAAAACTATAATATAGTTTTGAATGAGAAATTTTTATATGGAGGTATAATTTTCTTTGAAACAGTACAGTTCTCAGGTTTTAATTTACAAAAAGTCATCCATCCTAACCTAAATTCATGTTCACATTTTTTCATGTCATTTATTGTTTTAACCCTTGTATGTAAATGTTTAACATGTTTTACATAGCCCCATGGAAGATTAAAGTAGCTCCAAGATATAAATGAGTCAATTAACTCTTTCAACACCAGTCAACCAGAAGTGTTTACTGCTGGGACACGATATAACTGGAATACTGTTAAAAGCGGCGTTAAACCCAACTCACTCACTCACTCACAAGTTCCCAGAGACTCTTGTGTGATAGATGAAGCCAACATTCATCAAAGAAGATATCTGCTTGTAAAATATATTTGCTGCTACATGTTATACATCAATTGAAAGGTCTGATCCTATAATCCTATATTTTATAAATATGAAAGTTATGTTTTTCACATTATTTAAAATAATGCATAAGTTTGTTGTAAATAAATAAAATGTAAGCTAACACGTAGTTAACATCCAGATTAAGGACCAAGGAAGCGAAAACTTGACGATTTTCGGCAAATATAAGATTTCATAAAATCCACTTACCCATTTCTGTTTTATTTTCATTGTTTACGTAATTGGAAAATCATTTTAAAAAGAATTATAAATAGTTTCTGTCATCACCCATTTCCCGATAACAGCGGCTGTCCGCTCAGTAACATGAAGAAATACCCCCGTTTTCGAGACTTCGTATGAATAACACGTTCGTTGAAGAATGGCATATGACACATCGCTGGAAAGCTTATTCCTCCATCTACACGCTCGTAACATGGTCTGGTTTTTGTTCCGTAGTTATAACAATCGATGTCATTGGAATAAAATTGGTTTCTTATGAGGCTTTCTTGCCGAAATCTGCTACAAGGTTCGCGATTAGCCAAATTAGAGCACGTGACCTAAGGCAGCCAATCAAATTACAGCTGTGATAACAAGTTCGTGTTTGGTAATTTTCAGAAGTTGACGAAAGATTTTCGTTAAATCGTATTATTCTGAACGTTTTAAGCAGGAAATCATGATATATATTAAAAATACGGAACTTCGTGAATGCATCGTGCTAGGTTATGAGCTGTGACAAAGATTTTTCATGCATATATTATGGCATTAAACATTGTGTCCGAGCCGAGAATTCAAGGCGATGAAAGCCGAGATGTCATTTGACTTGCATTACACGCGATACACGAACATATGGAAATAATAACCCATCTATGTAAGTTTGATTACTTTTATATATATTTTTGTTGATTTTATTTATTACTTTGTATAATATATTTAAAGATTTGTTTAAAACGTCTATATTTTGCTCTTTGACATGTTCGATGTGGACCCGTTGTGCGATAATTTTATTTTCAATAACATCACGGAAAATAGTGAATACTTTTTTAATTTATCGATGTAAAATGATAAATTGAAAAGGAATACGTATTTCCGACATTGTCAAATGTGATAGATTAAATAAATGAATGATATTACAGGTAGGTCCATAAAAATATATACTATTTTGCCCGACCGAAGTCGTCTGTCTACCAGTTTGTCCGACCGTCAGATAATATGTCCACTTGTTACGACCGACAATAAAATGTCTGTCTCAATGTTATGCCCGAACGAAGTAAGTCTGTCCAACTTTTTCTATGCGAGGCTTTGCGCAAAGCTTGTTCTTATTCATAGTGCGAAGCAAACTCTAGTAGTCGTGTTTAATTGTGTGTTTGAATTACTTTTCTAAAGTACTTGTGGCCGAACTGGTGAAAACTTGAACTATCGTATATAAATCGACTAATTCAATGTTCGCCCGTAACATTGGGTCGCCTGTAACATTTACACTTACCGAGACAGACGTGGAAGCATCCTTCTTCTTTGGCGCCATCTCTGCTGCTGACCAAATTTCGGCAATCATGTAATTCGTATCATGTGGAAACCAACCGGAACTTGGCAAATCCGATGACGGAATATAAACCAGATGACGTGTAGCGATCAGAAAAGTTAAATTATGATCAACAATTCGCCCGTAACAGTGGGACAGAGTTTTCTATAGACGTTTATGATTTGCATTTATTTTCTGTGGTTGCAAACCTGTTTTGATTTCATGTTTAGGTTTAACATACATTGATCACCAACTTTCATTCTGCTTCCGAAGTAACTTTCTGTGGTTTCACAATTCGTTACAAAATGATGTTTTTGTTCACCACCCATCGAGGACAGACATTGTTACGTCCGACACTTGTCAAATTAATTGTACATTTGTATTAATTTTTTTTTTTTTTCAATTTTTTTTTTATTGAAATCTGTTAAAGTACAAAGGTACCTGTTACATTCTGTTAAAATCGTACATTAATATTGAACTGAATGTGGAATACAGCCTACAGATTGGAGGTATGCACAGACATGTAACAAACAGAACTCAGAAAACACACTTGTTTTAATTTAAAAATTCTTTTATTTAATTTATATACATTGTTTAAAAAGCTCAAAATATGTTTACTATCTCCAAAATTCATGATGTATCCAATGTAGTTCAGATTTTGCAGATACTCTCCTTGGAATTAAATTTACAACTGTTTGAAATTCATAGGTATCAAAGTGGGCACTCTAGTGAATAAGGACTCAAATACATGATACATTAGGCACCGTTTTAAAATAATCATTACAGTATAGAAATTCTTAAGTACTATCAGAAATGGATATATACTACTCAAAAGGAGTTAAAGAACAACCAAATTAATATGAAAGTTCTACTTTCATATACATGATATATAAATCTCTTTCTTTATCATGTTTAGCATGCTTATTTTTTAGTTAAGTAATCACAAATCTGGACCACAAATCGCTTGTTTAATATGTCCACTTTCAAGCAGTTTTTTAGCCCTAGCATATAGCCAGATACAGGGCTCCAAATAAAGGCTGTATCAGCGTATGGATGGATGCAAATATGCACAATATGATGGGGCATAATTTAGAAAACGTATCAAATACGCATTACAGCATACATGTACGGTCTAACATTCATTTAAAGACGTATTTCCCAAAAAGTATATTCTGATTTCAAGCAGCGTATTTTCTTGAGTATAGTGTGCACTTTTTTCCAAAACAACTGTGCTAATTTGGTGCGCATTACACAGGACATAATGAGTCTTCGCGCTTTTTTTCCCCCAACGCAAAGACATTACCGTGAGCATGTAACTCCAGAAATATCATGTCAAAAAATCTGTACAGAAGAACGCAAATTAATCATGCAATTACACTGTGTGGTGTTCATGCATATCTGGACGTACGTTTGTAACTTATTTTAATAATTTTGTTCAAAATTTCATTCAATATTTATTACATTAATCTTGCTGAAATCGTGCATGAAGTGATCGGCAGATCGCACATCTCACTGTAATTTCACAGTGGGCAACGTCAACACAAGAGATTTTGCGAGTGAGAGAGCCCCATGACGGTGACTGCTTATTATTGTACCATACGTAAAAAATATCCGGCAACAGTGATCAGCCGTACCAAAGTTAGTGCTACACTTATGGTTATAATTATTTTAAATATATATTAAGTAAAGCTGCAGCTAAAACAACATGATATTGGAATCTATTATTCCTGATATAGTAAGTTTCAGGTACAATTCTTCCGATCATTGCATCAAAATTCTTTAAAGTCAAAGTATTGAGTAATATTTTACCGAATAACTGGTGATTGTGAGAACATGTGTGAACATGTGTGTACAGCTGATTGCTGTTTCTGGCTTAGTTTATTATGAGAAAATACACACGGTAATCTTAATCTCTGCATAGAAAACAATGCCTAGCAGGGTTAGAAACTAACAGTTTTTGTCCACTAGTCCTTATCATGATAACAGAGCAATACCCCTAAAATGGGCCAATTTCTACTAGTCCTTAGGATACCTTTACTGGGCAGTTTGGAAAGGACTACAAGACTAGTGCCAATTTCTAACGCTGCGTAGTAAAATTGGAAATACAATTTAAATGGTAAATCATCATGTCTAGTGATGATTTATCTCAAATTTCACATTTGTATTGAACATGTTTGTTATCACCTGTTCGTTTACCTGACTTTGCTGAAGGGAAACAATGTAAAAACAAGTCTGATCATAATACTCGATTTTTTCCCCCAAAAAATACTAAATACATGCTAGAGGGTATTATACAATAGACATACATGTAAAATGAAAAAAGTATTGTTTATAGACCTGTTTACACAAGAGTAGCCATGATAGCAATGCTGTCATGCATATCTAAAATGAAATACAAGATTATTCCACTAAATTCAATTCAGTACTCTTAGTGTACTCTTCAGTTTTGTCAGTACTCCAATATTGAAATAAAAAGAAGTATGTACTCCTGATGCTGAAAAATTATCTGGAAAACTTCATATTATCTTACAGTTAAAAAATATTCCATGGTATGTTACCTACTTTCTTGATCACATGGATAACAAAATTTGTTAAAGTATATTCTATAATCACCATGATCAAATATTGCTATGGCTGCAAAAACAAAAGATATAGCTGCACATTGTGAACATAGTGAATGCGTATTGAGCCTACAAAGACCATAAGCATGATAAGTATGACAAGATAGTTCCAAAATATATATTTACTAAAAGATTGTGTCAGGAATAGAATTCAAATCAGCCTGTATCGTACTAGAATTTCGGCAAACATGCAGTTTACCAGGCACAGCTTAAAGTGTTAACGAATACCTTCACAATCCTTAAGGTTAGTTGTCAATGAGCAATGCTAGGGTATGAGGTTAGCAATCACTTTAAACAAATTAATCCAAGCCAACTTCAGAAAAAAAATCTATCAAGCTTTGTGTTTCACGTAGTAAATGGCTACTGTGCACAAGTACAAAGGGAAACAATTAGATACTGGTCACTTGTTAAACAAGCGCTAATTATTTGTCATAGTCCCTTTGGTCCCGTGCTAAAGTGTTGAATAATTAGCATAAGATGAACTCATGAGCCTGACAACGCAAGATAAATTCTCTTCATGACACAAATTGTAATCTGAAAAAGTATGCTTGGTAAACATGGTAAAGCGAAGTACTCCTACAATTTCAACAAGTAAGTTGGAATGGTAATGCCATAATTAATCGGACTCTACAAAATATTTGACATGTTTGATATTGGTGAACATTGTCAGGAATCAAAAGCCTGAAATGCAATAAAGACATAACGAGCAGAGGTTACAAGACACAGGGAAAAAATGATAGTTTGTAATGTGTCATGTTTGTATTTGAAGCATGACAACTGCTAAACAGGTCAAATGGGCTTCATCATTCAATGTACGGTATTCCTACTTTGGTATGTATGTACATACAACGGTATAAGGAGATAAAGGGATTGTGTATCGCCATACATATACCGAATCCGCAATTCGAGTCGGAATATTTGGTCTTCATTGAAACCTATTAAGACCTAACAGGCTTGTTGCTAAAGAAGATTCCAGAATAACGTGCTCCCAACATGACTAAACACGTGGGTTGCCGGTTTAGGGGAATGTAGAAATATTGCCCATAAACGGTTCAGTCGGACTCTTTTTAAGGCTGTACGAGTAGAAAATACAATAAGCAATATCGAAATTGTAACATTTCTTACCATTTTGAGTTCTTACTGACTGTCCAGTCGTTCTTTCTCCTCCTACCGTCAATGCTTTGCTGGTGCTCGACATGATGAGTCTGTATCGTTTAGTAGTACTGTCCTAAAAACATATTCGATATAAAACTATTTAATTGTCGTAAAGTGATTGTAAACCTAAAATAACATTGTCTATTTTACATATATTGTTCCACCATTAGCACCTGTATAGTAAACAATATTACTTATGTTACTGTATTGTAAATATACATTTAGGCAAGTACTTGCATACCAAATATAATCAGCACAATGGTGAATAGTAGTAGTTTAAACGGGTTCCAAGCTTTTGTTGCGCTACACTACATTTAGTAATAAACTGGCCGCCGTCTCTTCCCGTCATGTTTCGCAAGATGACGACGCGCAGAGAAAACCAGGGACCATATCTTATCTTATACAATTCAAGTTAATGTAAAATCCATATGAAGCTTAATTTCCAACAATGATAAGTGGTCAGATAAAGAATTGTTTATCCAGACAACTTCAATATCTGAGGAATATTTTTGAAGCTATATCGCTCTTATGTCCCATGCTTCGATTAGCTTACTCATTTTCGTACTCTCTGTCCGTTGGTTTGTCAAACAGACCCCCGAAGCATATATATCCAATATATTCCATCTAAGTCTATAATACATGTAGTTGGAAAGTCTAGATTACTGTTCTGAAAACGAATAGTATCTGCCACTATCTGGGCTCTTTTTAATAATGTTTTAATTAAATAATTTAACAACCGCATTTTTTCGTAAAATATTTGGGAGATATACATATTCTGTTTTAAATGTTGAGGTGATTTACGTTAACTTTCCTGAAATGTTTGGCATTGATGTTGGCATTTACTGTTTTAAAGTGTATCGGGCCGTAGCCGTATCAGTTTTAACAGTGTGAATATATTTAACTGATGAACTGGTGTTTGTTACTATCCGGGAATTTAAAATATGTATGCGATTCTTGCGTTTCACAGGCAGATATTTCAAATGAAGGCAGGGTTTGTGATCAGTGCCAAGTTATGGATCCTTTCTGAATTTTTCTAAGAAATGTATACTATAAAATTATATTTTATATCTTCACATAGTGAGAACTTAGCTTAAAGTTTAAATTTGTGTAAGTTTTGTTTTAAGAGAATGACTCTCAATTGTGTCTGCATTGGTTTAGGGGGAATTGCTCACTTATTATGCATAGTGCGCTGTGGATACATAAAACTATGTCCAGTAAGGTGTTTTACCAATTCACTCCACCTTCACTTTCCACCGACATACGCGAACTCTTACATGAAGGTCGAGTGTTATGATTAATCTAAAACGAAGTGACTCTTTCGATATTTTTTCCTGTTTTCCAAACAATGTTCCACAGGGCAATTTCACCAATTAAGACACTCCAGTTATGTTTAGGAGCACCAACATAATGTCTATATTATATATAAACGCCCTGCTTACATTTAAAATATGTTTTCCAGACAATGTTGCAGAGGACAATTTCACCAATTAAGACACTCAGGTTATGCTGTCCTCAAAAAAGACACCTTTCACACTTGTATAAAAAGAGTACAAATACGACCCCGACGAGACTCGAACTCGCAATCTTCTGATTCGAAGTCAGACGCCTTATCCATTAGGCCACGAGGCCGACGATGAATCCCAAATGTGACACGTTTTTCTACACGTCAATACAATGTTTTGCTTTTAAACAACGTTTAGGAGCACCAACATATAATGTCTATATTTTTATATAAACGACCTGCTTACATTTAAAAGATGTTTTCCAGACAATGTTGCACAGGACAATTTCACCAATTAAGACACTCCAGTTATGCTGTCCTCAAAAAGGACACTTTTCACACTTGTATAAAAAGAGTACAAATACGACCCCGACGAGACTCGAACTCGCAATCTTCTGATTCGAAGTCAGACGCCTTATCCATTAGGCCACGAGGCCGACGATGAATCCCAACTAGGACACGTTTATCTACACGTCAATACAATGTTTTGCTTTTAAACAACGTTTAGGGGCACCAACATAATGTCTATATTTTTATATAAACGACCTGCTTACATTTAAAAGATGTTTTCCAGACAATCTTGCACAGGACAATTTCACCAATTAAGACACTCCAGTTATGCTGTCCTCAAAAAGGACACTTTTCACACTTGTATAAAAAGAGTACAAAACGACCCCGACGAGACTCGAACTCGCAATCTTCTGATTCGAAGTCAGACGCCTTATCCATTAGGCCACGAGGCCGACGATGAATCCCAACTAGGACACGTTTATCTACACGTCAATACAATGTTTTGCTTTTAAACAACGTTAAGGGGCACCAACATAATGTCTATATTTTTATATAAACGACCTGCTTACATTTAAAAGATGTTTTCCAGACAATCTTGCACAGGACAATTTCACCAATTAAGACACTCCAGTTATGCTGTCCTCAAAAAGGACACTTTTCACACTTGTATAAAAAGAGTACAAATACGACCCCGACGAGACTCGAACTCGCAATCTTCTGATTCGAAGTCAGACGCCTTATCCATTAGGCCACGAGGCCGACGATGAATCCCAACTAGGACACGTTTTTCTACACGTCAATACAATGTTTTGCTTTTAAACAACGTTAAGGGGCACCAACATAATGTCTATATTTTTATATAAACGACCTGCTTACATTTAAAAGATGTTTTCCAGACAATGTTGCACAGGACAATTTCACCAATTAAGACACTCCAGTTATGCTGTCCTCAAAAAGGCCACCTTTCACACTTGTATAAAAAGAGTACAAATACGACCCCGACGAGACTCGAACTCGCAATCTTCTGATTCGAAGTCAGACGCCTTATCCATTAGGCCACGAGGCCGACGATGAATCCCAACTAGGACACGTTTTTCTACACGTCAATACAATGTTTTGCTTTTAAACAACGTTAAGGGGCACCAACATAATGTCTATATTTTTATATAAACGACCTGCTTACATTTAAAAGATGTTTTCCAGATAATCTTGCACAGGACAGTTTCACCAATTAAGACACTCCAGTTATGCTGTCCTCAAAAAGGACACCTTTCACACTTGTATAAAAAGGGTACAAATACGACCCCGACGAGACTCGAACTCGCAATCTTCTGATTCGAAGTCAGACGCCTTATCCATTAGGCCACGAGGCCGACGATGAATCCCAACTAGGACACGTTTTTCTACACGTCAATACAATGTTTTGCTTTTAAACAACGTTTAGGGGCACCAACATAATGTCTATATTTTTATATAAACGACCTGCTTACATTTAAAAGATGTTTTCCAGACAATCTTGCACAGGACAATTTCACCAATTAAGACACTCCAGTTATGCTGTCCTCAAAAAGGACACTTTTCACACTTGTATAAAAAGAGTACAAATACGACCCCGACGAGACTCGAACTCGCAATCTTCTGATTCGAAGTCAGACGCCTTATCCATTAGGCCACGAGGCCGACAATGAATCCCAACTAGGACACGTTTTTCTACACGTCAATACAATGTTTTGCTTTTAAACAACGTTTAGGAGCACCAACATAATGTCTATATTTTTATATAAACGACCTGCTTACATTTAAAAGATGTTTTCCAGACAATGTTGCACAGGACAATTTCACCAATTAAGACACTCCAGTTATGCTGTCCTCAAAAAGGCCACCTTTCACACTTGTATAAAAAGAGTACAAATACGACCCCGACGAGACTCGAACTCGCAATCTTCTGATTCGAAGTCAGACGCCTTATCCATTAGGCCACGAGGCCGACGATGAATCCCAACTAGGACACGTTTTTCTACACGTCAATACAATGTTTTGCTTTTAAACAACGTTAAGGGGCACCAACATAAAGTCTATATTTTTATATAAACGACCTGCTTACATTTAAAAGATGTTTTCCAGATAATCTTGCACAGGACAGTTTCACCAATTAAGACACTCCAGTTATGCTGTCCTCAAAAAGGACACCTTTCACACTTGTATAAAAAGAGTACAAATACGACCCCGACGAGACTCGAACTCGCAATCTTCTGATTCGAAGTCAGACGCCTTATCCATTAGGCCACGAGGCCGACGATGAATCCCAACTAGGACACGTTTTTCTACACGTCAATACAATGTTTTGCTTTTAAACAACGTTTAGGGGCACCAACATAATGTCTATATTTTTATATAAACGACCTGCTTACATTTAAAAGATGTTTTCCAGACAATCTTGCACAGGACAATTTCACCAATTAAGACACTCCAGTTATGCTGTCCTCAAAAAGGACACCTTTCACACTTGTATAAAAAGAGTACAAATACGACCCCGACGAGACTCGAACTCGCAATCTTCTGATTCGAAGTCAGACGCCTTATCCATTAGGCCACGAGGCCGACAATGAATCCCAACTAGGACACGTTTTTCTACACGTCAATACAATGTTTTGCTTTTAAACAACGTTTAGGGGCACCAACATAATGTCTATATTTTTATATAAACGACCTGCTTACATTTAAAAGATGTTTTCCAGACAATGTTGCACAGGACAATTTCACCAATTAAGACACTCCAGTTATGCTGTCCTCAAAAAGGCCACCTTTCACACTTGTATAAAAAGAGTACAAATACGACCCCGACGAGACTCGAACTCGCAATCTTCTGATTCGAAGTCAGACGCCTTATCCATTAGGCCACGAGGCCGACGATGAATCCCAACTAGGACACGTTTATCTACACGTCAATACAATGTTTTGCTTTTAAACAACGTTTAGGGGCACCAACATAATGTCTATATTTTTATATAAACGACCTGCTTACATTTAAAAGATGTTTTCCAGACAATCTTGCACAGGACAATTTCACCAATTAAGACACTCCAGTTATGCTGTCCTCAAAAAGGACACTTTTCACACTTGTATAAAAAGAGTACAAATACGACCCCGACGAGACTCGAACTCGCAATCTTCTGATTCGAAGTCAGACGCCTTATCCATTAGGCCACGAGGCCGACAATGAATCCCAACTAGGACACGTTTTTCTACACGTCAATACAATGTTTTGCTTTTAAACAACG